AGGCAGGCATTCAATCCACTGAGCCACACCAGCCAGGGCTATTTATTGATTTTAGAGAAAAACATCCATTTGTTGTGCCATGCATTGATGCACTCACTGGCTGATTCTTGTCTGTGCCCTGACCTGAGATGGAATCCACAACCTTGGTGTATTGGGATGACGCTGTAACAAACTGGCCAGACCTATATACACAGATCTGTTTTTGTTTTAATTTTTTAAATTTATGTTTTAGGGAGAGGAGAGGGGAGGAAGAAAGAGAGGAAGAGAAACTTTGGTGTGAGAAACATAGGTTGGGTGCCTCTTGTGTGCACCCCAACTGGGTACTGAACCTATAACACAGGCATGTGCCCTGACTGGGAATTGAACTGGTGACCTTTCACTTTGTTGGAAGACACCCAGCCAACTGAGCCACACTGGTTAGGGTAATATACACAGCTCTTTAAAAGAATAGTTAGCCCTGGATGGTGTGGCTCAGTAGGTTGAGTGTTGGCCTGCAGACAAAAAGTTTGGTGGTTCAATTCCCCATCAGGGCACATGTCTGGGTTGCAGGCCAGTTCCCTAGTTGGGGGTATGCAAGAGGCAACCAATCGATATTTCTCTCACACATGGATGTTTCTCTCTCCCCTTTTCCCCCCTCTCTCTAAAAATAACTAAATAAAATCTTTTAAAAATTAATTAATATGTGGATTAATTACAATAATTAGTTCCACAGTTGCATGAGGCACATTTCAAGTGCTCACTTGCCACATGTGGCTGGTGGCTACTGTCTTGGACATCAGAGCTGGAGAACATTTCCATCATCGGAGACTTTGCTGGATACTTCCTGGACAGTGCCGCTCCAGAGAATTCCAGGCCAGCCATTATTTAGGAAGGGGACAGAAGCTCGGCCGTGTCGGTAAAGTCCTCAGCACGTGCGGTGGGTCCCTCAACATTAGTACCAATCTCTGCTCCCCTCGGATCCGAGAGCTGCCCCTCTGGGAGTGTTCTGTGCTGTCCAGTGTGCGTCTCCATGTTTCAGCCCTGCCAGCCATCCCTCCAGTTTCCTGGGGGCCTCCGCTGTGGAAGGAAAGAGAGCCTCATCGTCTCTCTCACCAGGTCATGCGGTCATTTGACTTAGGGCGGCCGCTCTGCACTGAATGAGCCTACGCTCTTAGAGATGGCACCCAAGAGGCCCTGCCCTGGGTGGGACAGAGAGACATACACGGTCCTTCCGTCACACATGGAGGTAGAAAGCCTACACCAGGCCCGAGGTCAGTCCGGCCTTCCTGGAGGGGTGAGCACTGAGCTGAGACCTGGAGGTGCAGGTGTGGCCTGGGGTGCCATCAGGAGCCCCAGTCATCTGCCCCGAGGGTCAGCTGGTGAGATCAGTCGGGCCAGGTCAGGCTGGGCCCAAAAGACCAGCGCAAGCCCTTGTGCTTGCCTGGCACTGGGGGGCCGGAAGGGGCTAGGGTCCTGCAGTGGGAGCAGCCACTGGGTGGGAGAGGATGTGGGGGACAGCCGGGTGAGTTCAGCTGTTGGTGATTTCACGCCTCCTCCTCAGCCACTTCTTGGGGACAGGCCCCAGTCGTAGGGCCCAGGTGCCAGGGAAGGTCAGATTTCGGCAGCAAGAGAATAAAAGGAGATTTCCTCCGGAGGGGAGCCCTCTCCCTCTGAGAGAGCTGCAGCTGCCTCCCTCCGGGATTAGGCTAAATCCTCAGCAGGTGGAGGGCTGGAAGGGGCCTCCCACCTCAGCTTGGGTCGAAGTGTGGGAAGGGCCAGGCAGTACAGCGGGTGTGCGCACCTGAATGTGTGCACCTGAGTGTGCCTGTACCTGGGAATGGGTCTCTTTCGTCCCTCCGTTCAGCACTTGACTGCCCCTCAGGTCTGCCAGGTGTGGTCCTGGTGGGGCTTGGGGGACACAGACAGTAGCTGCTGCAGTAGGTCAAGGGCTCTGAAGCCGTGGGAGGGACTTGGGCAGTTTCCCTTGGGGAGCCTGGAAGAGGGGGCTGGGGGCTGCTTCGTTGAAAATCTTCTCTTGCCATTGAAGTTTTTGTTGAGCTGTTTCAGCCTCGAACACAAAATGCCCCTCTGTAAAAATCTCGGTTCCTGAAATGTGGCCCCCAGACCAGCAGCTGTGCTTCTGGGGAACGTGTTAGAAATGCACATTTCCAGGCTGCGCCCTGAACCTACCCAGTGTGAGAGACTCTGAGGCGGAACCCGTAGCCCAGGGTCTCCAGGTGGTCCAGGAACATGCTGAGGGTTCAGGATTCATTGGAAACCCACCCAAGCAGAGCGGGCTTTCTGAGCCCCTCCCATAGGGTCTCAGTATGATGGGGGTGGGGAGCACCTAGGGAACCCGGGGAGGCTGCCTGAGAAGTGAGGTTTGAGTGACATGTAAAAGGTGAAGAGAGCTTGGCCAGGTGAGGGGGCCGTGTGCTTTCCAGGAAAGAGAAGCCGGAGTGAGGGCCCTGAGGTGTCAGGGACCAAAGGCCAGGGGCTGGAGCCCCACAGGCTGGGCCCCGCACCCCTGTGCGTGGTCTCCACTGGCAGAGGTTCCTGCTTCTGCGAACCCAGAGCCTCCCCTACCTTTGGAAAGGCCAGGCCACTCGAGCTCTGCAGTGGGACAGGTGCCTGGGCACCAACACTCTTCCTTTTTCTGAGCCCCTGTTGTCCTTAACCGGGCACCGGGACAAGAAGGCCTTCCTGCGAGGGCTGCCTGGAGGAGGGAACAAGATCCTGGCAGCCTGGCCCTGGGCCCTTCCCTCCTGGGCCCAGTTTTTGGCGGAGCACTTAAAGCCTGTCCAGGTGTGGTAGCGTGCCTGTGTCAGGCCCCAAGGGCGATTTTGGTCATAGTGGCCTCCCCCACACTGGGGACCACCTGACCCCGCTCCCAGCAGCCTCCCATCCCTGGGCTCTGGCTGCCTGTCAGTTGGTCCTGCCAGAGCCCTGACTGGTATACTCAGCCAGCAAGTGGCAGAGTCCAGAGGTGACCAATGCTTTTCCTATAGCCTCCCGAGCCCCATGTCACAGGCCAGGAAGCCACTCAGAACCCAGGCTGACCAGGGGTCTGGGCTCTGCCGTGTGCCCAGAGCAGGCTGAGGGGAGGGGAGGGGAGGTGGGGCAGCCCAGCTTGCACGGGAATTAGAGCATCTGTCTCACTCTTACATGCGACATCAGGAATGTGGAAGGGCCCCATCTAGCGTGTGCCTGCCAGGGAGGCGGGCAGGGAGGGGTGCAGGGTGGGCAGCTGAGCCCCTCCTGGCTCCTGGGACCTGCAAGGCAGCAGCTGCCCCTGTCACTCTGAGTGGTCTGGCTCTGGTCTCCCACATGTGAAGCACCCTGGGCCTATGACATCCCTGTGTCCCCACCATTAAATGAGAAGAGCAATCTTCATCTGGTGAGGCTGTGGTGAGGGAGAGCTGTAGGTTCACGGTGGGGAAGTGGAAATGGGGCTCTCGTCCCTCAGCCCCTGTCCTCACACACCACCCCAGATGGTCCCACCCTTCCGGGGTGGGCTGGCAGAGACCTGCCTCGCCTGTGATTAGCTGGGTCAATGAAGGATGTAGTCAAGGAGAGATTCCAGTTCAGGGGTGGAGCTCAGTCCCAAAGTTTAGGGGCTCCAGGGAACCAGTGTGGGTCCTTGAGTGCAGGAGGTGCAGAAGCCAAGAGTCACTTTAGGCAGTGCCTCTGGAGCCACCTGCAGGGAAATGAGTGAAGGGGACCTTGGGCTGGAGGGGGCACTCTGGCCACTGCTGCCAGCTCTTAGTGAGACATTCAGGATGACCCATCTGAACTCTCCATGGTGTCCACCCCCAAGCGTGTGCTTGTGCATGTCTCTTCCCACCCTCAGCTCGGCCCAGGGACGCAGGCCGGCCCAGGGCTCCCACGAATGCTGGTGAAGGCAGTGACCGGCAGAGGAGTGACAATGCTGGCCGAGGGGCCCTGGGTGTGTCAGGCTTTGAACGTCCTGGCTCCAAGTCTGCTGTTCTTTCCACCTCCTGGAGGAGGGGGTTCCTGGGGGAAAGGACGTGGTTGGGGATGACTCCCTGGTTTGGGGCCTGTGCCCTCTCTGAGGTGGGGGACTTTGGGGGAGGTGGTTTTAGGGGAAGATGAGTGGTTCAGTATGGGGGATGGTGAGTCAGAGGTGTGGCTGGGGCATGAGGAGACCCAGGGGAAGCACGAAGCAGGGCCAGCAGGTGCTGCTGTCTTTCAGGGCGGCCCCGCCTGGATGCTTAGAACCCCTCCCTCTGGCCCTGCGTGTGTTTTCAGCTCTGTGGGAGGCGATGGAGGCGATCATGTGGTGTCCACAGAGGGTCTGTCCTGGTTGGGAAGTCCCCCCGTGCCAGGGGGACAGGGCAAGAGAGCAGGCACTGGGTCAGGCACCCACACCCCACCGTTCAGGGGCTGGAGAGCAGCAGTAACCCCTGGGTTGGAGCCCAGGAAGGTTCTGGGCTCGGAGCCCGGGGAAGCTGATCCTATTCACCCTCCCCCTCACCCAGAGGGCGTCTGAGAACAGGGCCATAAGGGTTCCCTAGGGGAGGACCAGGCAGGCAGGGACAGCTGCGGTGCAGCCGGGAGGGCGGCAACCAGCTGCTGCTGGGGAGACTGGCCAGGGCAGGCGGGGCAGCGTGGCCTCCTCAGGCCCCCGGCCCTAGCGGCAGGGCGTGGGAGCAGGCGCAGACTCGAAGCCGGGTTTCAGGCTTTCATGCTGTGTTAACTGTCAGCTTGGTTAATGTTGAGCAGGTGGGGGAGGGGTGCTGCCAACTCCCTCGGTGACAGCTCCAGGTCACGCATGTGCACAGGGGACAGTCCTGTCTGGTAGACAGTGCCGTGCAGACTTCTCTGCCCACCAGCGCTCATTTGCACCATCGCATACACGAGATGGTGCCATCGGGCCCCTTGGTCCACCCTGAGGCAGCTGGAGGTGGGTCAGTCTGTTGCCTAGGCAGAACTTCCAGCTTGGGGGTTCCTCCACCCTGTTCCCCCTCCATCCTATGTGAAGAAGACACCAGGCACATGGATGTTTACTTCAAAAAATAATTTATAAAGGCCATTTGCTTCTGTCTGGGGGAGGCTTCCTGCTTCAGCTAGAGCACAGGGGTCAATGTGCCCTCCACCGAGATGCTGGGGCAAGCAGCAAAGGGGCAGGTGGTAGGGGAGGGTACAGAGGTCCAAGAGCTCTCTGGGTGTAGGGAGCAGGGAGGTTTGGGGTGGCCCTTTGGCCAGGTCTGCTGACCTCTGGAACCGGGACCACGCACCAAGGCCCAGGAGGCCAAGCAGAGCTCTGCATCCAGTACATGAGAACGCCGAGGGGCCCTTGAGACAGCTTGGAAACTGGGTTGGGAGCCCCAGGCCAGAGCTGGAAGCCTCCACCAGGGACCCCGGGACCAAAGACCGACCTCCCCAAAGCAGAAGTAGAGATCTGGGAAGGCACCCTGCAGTCAGAGGGGGACTATCAAGGTCAAGCACCATGGGGTTGCAACAGAGCCAGGTGGCCCAAGGCTGCTGACTCTCCTGCCGGCTCAGACCCCTGTCCCACCTCGGTTCTGCATGCCAGGGAAGGGGCAGGAGCTGGGCCCCAGGGGCAGGGGGTCGTGGCTGAAGACAGAGTCACTGGAAGAGCAGGTGCTGCTGGCATCCCCACCGGCAGGGGCATAGGGTCCAAAGGTCAGGCGGAGGTCCAGGTACTGTGGGGAACAGTGCTGGTCAGCCCTGATGGCTCAGAGGAAGCCCACAGGGCAGTGGGCAGGAGGAGGTCCCAGGACAGGGGAGGAGCCGTACCTCCTCAGAGACGGCCAGCAGGACCTTGTCTAGCGCCTCCACCAGCTGCTTGAAAGTGGGCCGCTGAGAGGGCGCCGCGTGCCAGCACTCCCGCATCAGCCCATACCTGGGGGTGGGGGGGCACGGTTGGAGGGACCAGCAGCCCCTGTAGTGGGGGAGGGGCCTCCTGAGGGGAGGGGCCGAGGCCCCCTCAGAGCAGAGGGTGAGGACTGGATAGTGCTGGGGGGGGAAGCGGGGGCAGGGCCTTACAGCTCTGGAGGGCAGTTCGGGGGCCTGTCCATCCGGTGCCCCTCCCGCAGCAGGGAGAACAGCTCCTCCACAGGGATGCCGGGGTACGGGGATCCCCCGAGGGTGAAGATCTCCCACAGCAGGATTCCAAATGACCACCTGGAGGCAGGACCAGGGCTCATCAGGGCTCAGCTTCCCTGCCTACTCCTGGGGCTGGGATGAGGGTCCCTGTGGGCATAACCCACCAAGAGGGGTGGGGATCGGGGCTTTTTATGGAGGGTCTGGTCCCACTCAGGTCCCAGGGTTATGTAACCTTTTCTGTACTGCCCCCCCCCCCCGCCCCCAGGACTCACACGTCGCTCTGGTGTGTGTAGACCCGGTCAAACAGGGCCTCTGGTGCCATCCACTTGACAGGCAGACGACCCTGGGGGTGGGAGGGCGTCGATGCCAGTCCCACAGGTCCCACCTGCCCCCCTCCCCCAGCCCCGCCCCGCCCCGCCCCCCTCACATTGCTGGTTTTCTTGTAGTAGTCAATGTGGTGGACACCGCGGGCCAGTCCAAAGTCAGCGATCTTCATCACATTGTCCTCTGTCACCAGCACATTGCGGGCAGCCAGGTCCCGGTGGATACACTGGGGACAGGGCAGGGGGCATCACCCATGTGACAGGAGGGGGCAACAGGGTTCAGAGAGGGGACTCTGACAGTCCAACTTCAGGGCCCTACCCTGCCCCACCCAGTAGGCTTGGGAGTGTGTGAGGGTGCAGCGGGGTGTGCGCTATCAGCTCTGCACAGAACCCCGGACGGGAGCTGAGGGAGGAGGGGAGACATTGAAAGTTGTGGAGATGGAGCACTCTTGAGAGCTGCCTACGGCCCACACCTTCCGAGACTCCAGGTACTGCATGCCTCGAGCCACCTGGTATGCGCAAGAGACCAGGGCAGGGAAGGACAGTGGCCCCTCGCTGCTCCGAGGCCCGTCGGGGCTGAGGTCGGGGCCAGGGGGGCGCCGGGCCCGCAGAAACTCCCTCAGGTTGCCCTTCGCGGCACACTCCACGATCACGTACAGGGGCCCTGCGAAGTGGAGGGAGATGGGGGTGCTGCCAAGGCTGCGCTCTGCGCCCCAGCTGCAGAGTCCACCCTGGGCCCACCTCGCCCCACCTTCTTGGGTGCAAACACCCAGCAGGTTGATAATATTTTTGTGTCGACCAATCAGCTTCATCACCTCCATCTCAGAAACCAGGTCTGCCAAGTCCTTGTCAGAAGCGTTGTCTGCAAGGGGGACAGCCAGGGTGACCACCAAGGCAGGCTGTGTGGCAGGAGCAGAGTCAGGAAGGTCTGGGCCTGAGTCCCCACTGGGCTGTGTGGCCTGGAAAGAGTCACCTAGCCTCTCTGAACCTCGGGGTTCTCTTGTATGAAATGGGACAATGGCTCATGCCCCATGTCTGACAGTGCTTGCAAGGATTCAACGAGATCAAGGACCTGGAAGCGTTAGCCTGCCAGTGAGGGGCCCGGAAACAGGAGAGGGGAAGAGCTCTGGGTGGGAAGGAAGCGAGTCTGCAGGGCTTGGCGTCAGTCCCTGAACAGGGTAAGAGCTCTTGGGGGCGGAAGGCAGGCTGGCGCCCTGAGGTCTGTCTGACCAGGGCCTGGCGTCCATCCGGCCTGGGAATCCAGGGAACTGCCAGTGGGGCGAAGCCAGGGGAGGCCTGGAGGAAGGCTTTGGAGCAGCGGCTGGGCCCCCAGGGCTGACCTGTGGCCCCGGGCCAATGACATGCCCTCCCCGCCAGACCTCACGGACCACATTTCTCAATCCCTGCCTCCGGGAAAGTACCAGGTGGCCCCAGCTGTGCAGAGAGGAGGGCCGGGGTGGGGGCGGGGAGCAGAACAGTAGTTTGGGCCACTCTTGTAGGGAGGCCTGGAGGACGGCAGTGAGAGGCCCCCATGGTAGACCCAGGTGGGTGCTGAGCACCTTGAGGCTCCCGCTTAGGAGCTGGGACTGAATTTAAAGTTGGAAAGGCTATTCCAGAGCGGTAGGCCCAGGGGAGGGGAGGCTGAGGGTGTGATTCCAGGGCAGTGAGGTTGCTAGAGGCCAAGGCTTACCTAGGGCCAGGGCTGACAGGGGGTATCAAACCCCAGTCACCCCAAATCTTTACAGTCACCACCACCCCAGTGGCTGAGATGGCATGCACCAGCACTTTCTGTGGACCTTGGGCTCGGAGGACATAGGCTCAAGTGACTTGCCAGGGTCAGCAGCGGAGGTGGGCCCCAACCCAAGGGTGGGTTTGCACAGCCTCTCCTGGCTTCTAGGAGATCCTTCAGTCAGTCCCAGCACCTTCCCCAGGCTGCTGCACTCACCCTTGAGCATCTTGACAGCCACCGTGCTGGCGTGGTCAGGCTGGGCTGGGTCCATGCCGAAGGCCTCTGCGCGCACCACCTGCCCGAAGCAGCCCTCGCCCAGTGGCTTCCCTAGCACCAACCTAGAAATTGAGAAAGCTGAGCCCTGGGCCACCTGGGTGGCCTTCCTGCCTGGAGCCTGCACCGCACCCTCATACTGCACTACGTACCTGTCCCGGGGGAACTCCCACAGTGGGTCCAGAGGGAGGTCGAGGCTCACAAGGCCGGCGAGCAAGGGGGGGCCACTGGAGGAGAGACGGACGCCCCGCACCAGGGAGGAGCTCGACTTGGCCGAGGAGCCCGACTCCAGGGAGAACTGCAAAGCGGGAGGCTCGGTTGGCCTGCTGGCGCTGAGCCTCGGCGGGACTGCAGGCCAAGAGCCTCACGATGGGACACAGGGGTGGGCACGGCACACTACCTGTCGGGCCAGAGGGAAATGGGACAGCTTCTGCACCGCAGCAGGCTGCCGGGCACGCCGGCCGTGGAGCACCTGCCCACGGTACAAGCCGGCCAACAACAGGAGCACCGCTAAAGCCAGGGAGCCAGCCGCATACAGGATGATGTCCGTGTATCTGGCATTGGGTGCTGCTGCCGTCCAGGTGAGGCCCTCCTCTGTCGGCAGGCAGAAGCACACAGACCCCTAACTGACCAGCCAGTGGTCAGATCGGGTGGGCCCCACACCCTTGACCCCAGGCCCTGACACCCCCCAGCACACACAGGTGCCCACACCCGGAAAGCTGCGGTGACGCCTAGCCCCACATGGCCCTGGGCCATACGGACAGTCCCATGGCAGCATGAAGGGGGACTGTGATATGCAAAGTCCAACACCCAAGCCACACACCATTCCCCAGGCTTAGACCCCACAGGCCAAGGGACAATGTCCACCCAGTGAGGTCATAGCCCACTGCTGGGTCACCATAGGAGGCTGCAGCCTCTTCTGGCCCCAGGTGCTCACCTGGCAGCACAGTGAGCCAGGCCGACTGGTAGGAGAGGCCAATGGAGTTGCCTGCCAGACAGGTGTACTCGCCTGCGTCCTCGGCAGACACATTCCGAAGGTACAGGACCTCTACCTCTGAGCTGTTGATGTCTGTTGTCTGGGGGTGGGAGACACATTCAGGGCTCACCGCAGGGCCTGGGGCCACACTGTGGCCAGAGAGGGAGCTAGCAACTGCCCTTCCCTAACAGGGAAGGAGGGAGGGGAGGGCTCAGGAACCGCAGGGGCTAGACCTTCAAGACTTGCACATAGGGGAAGCCATCGGCCCCGAAGCTGCTGCCATTGATGACGATGTGCTTCAACCACTGGATGTGGGGCTGGGCGTCACTGTACACCTTGCAGAGCAGCTCCACGTCGCTGCCTGCCACAGCTGTGGTGTTGGCCGGGAGCCCCGCCTGCAGGATGGGCCGGTGCGGGGACCGCTCTGGGGACCGGACCGGGCCGGGCCGTCAATCCTGACCAGTGGCACACACAGAAGCACCCTGGCCACCCACCTCCTACTTTCTCCCAGCTGAAGGAAGTAACTTTCCTGATATACAGCTCAGACCCTGTCCGTCTCCTGCTAACCCTGCTTAAACCCTCCATGGCTCCCCATTGCTTTTGGGGTCAAGGACAACTTCTTAGCCTAGACGTTAAAACCATCCATGGCCTGGCACCCCACACCCTAGGCACGTGCCTTCCCACCAGCACAATCTATTCTTTACCCCTGAGGCTTTCATTCAGCCGTGCCCTCTGCCTCAGTGTCCTCCCTGCTCTTCTCCTTGGCTGATCCCTGCTCCCCCAGGCCTGCGGATACTCTGAGCAGCTGGACCGAGCCATAGAAGACTGAGTCCATGTTTCTGGCCAGACTGGGCCCTGCCTGAGGGTGAGGTCTGGGCTCCCGCCCCCCACGCTGCCTGGCCTGCCCATCCGCTCACCCAGCACATCCAGCAGGTAGCTGTAGCGGATGCTGCCCAGTGGGTTCTCCACGAGGCAGGTGTACGTGCCACGATCCGAGGGCACCACGCTTTCCATCACCAGGCTCCAGTGCTGATGGCGCAGCTGGGGGCAGGGGAGGGCTCACGAGGGGCCACCAGCCAGTGCCCACCCAGGGAGAAGGGGCGGGGAGAGTGCAGGCCAAGTCTAGGGACTTTCAGACAAAGGAGGAGATGACTCCAAGAAGTGCCTAAGCTGTGAGTCTTAGCTCGGCCTTCTCCCTGTGCCACCCTGAGCCAGGCTCTGGCCTGAGTCTCGGCTTCCTCATCACAGCTGGGAGCTAGCCCTATAGGGTCTTGCTGTGAAAACAAGCTGCCCAAGCTTACTGATGCTGGTCAGTGATCCTTCCCCCTTTACAAATGGAGTCACTTAAGCCAAGGGGCTAAGTCACTTGCCAGAGAGTGGCAGACTGGGGACTTGAACCAGAGCTGCCTGTGTCCACAGTCCATGCTCCTCCTGGGGCCACGCAGTGGCCTTCCTCATTGGAGCAGAAACTGGGGGGTTGATTTACAGGTTTGAGGGAGCTGATGGGAAAGTGAAAGTGGAGGAGCGGGTGGCCCAGGGCCCTGGAGGCTCACCCGAACACCTCCGATGCGATGCTCCCCGTGGAAGTCCTGTCCATCCTTGAGCCAGCGGATGGTGGGCACGGGGTTGCCAGCAGCTGGGCAGCGGAACTTGACGGTGTTCCCAGCAGGCACTGCATGCAGTTTCTTCTCCATGCGCTGGGGGTGTGTCCAGTAGGGTGCTGGAAAGGAAGGGATGACTTATTGCCCCCAGGATGACCACCTGTTTCCACACAGGTCTCTTCTCAGGGACCAGCTGGGAGGTAGGGAAATGAGTCCTCAAGGACTTCTACTGACCATGCTGTGGGTAAACGTGCCTATTCGAAGGGCTGCTGTGGGCCTTGGGGTCCTCATCAATGTTGCTGGAGGTCAAGGAGTCTGTGTCAGGGACAGAGGGAAGCATGTGAGGCTCAGGATGGGGAGAGTCTCTTCCCAGGTGCCCGTAGCCCCTGGCAGACCCCTTACCATCCACTGCCAAGGTAACGTTGTGCAGGACCAGTGTGGAGCCTCGTGCCAGGCAGAGGTAGTGGCCAGCATCTTCGGGCAGGAAGCTGGCGATCTCCAGGCGGCCTCTCCAGCCTCGTACCCGGCCAGCAGGTGCCAGGCGGCTGCCCTCCTTGTACCAGTGGCCACCACGCTCACCCCTCCCACAGCACAACTGCACAGGCTGCCCCAGGGTCACAGTCAGCTCCTGCTCTTGCTGCTCCAGGCTGGGGGCCAGGCAGGGCTCTGGGGGCCGAGGGCAGCGTCAGTAAGCCCCATAGTTCCCGCCATGGATGATGTGCCACATGTGCAGGGCACAAGCACCTGAGATGCATGCTGGATACTTACTGCCTCTCAACACACACAGCCACATGCTGCAGATGCTACGTGCAGGGTGGTGGTCACGCCCTGATACACATCACACACTCAGCAGGCAGCACCCCACTGGGCTGGATGAGACACCGTCCAAGCCACACACACACACACACACACACACACACACACACACACGGCACATGCCACACCACTCCAGGCCATGCCACCCTTGCAGTGCACACACCACACTGGCTGCCTGGGTCTCCCCGGCCTCATACACAGTGCACAGGCCACACACGCACAGCCATGGGGCTCACCCTGGGCCCTGCAAGGCCAGTCCTCTCTTGTGGATACAGAGACAGGCAGGTGCTTTCTGGGAGCCAGACACTTAGTCTCAATGGTTGGGCTCTGTCCTGCCACCACCGCGGCCCCAGGGCCTGGACCAGGATCCTTTCCAGCTTCGCTCAGCCCCCTCTTGGTGCCCACCCTTCCCACCCCTGCCACCCTCTCCCACCTCAGAGGTCATACCCAGCTCCATTTCCTCAGAGGCTTCAAAGGACAACACTGGAGTCCAGGACGCCCCCAGGAGGACCCCCAACATGGCCAACAGCTGCTGCATCTTCTTCCTGCTGCTTACGGGGCCCCCGCTGGGCTTTCTACCTGTGGCCTTCCTGAAACAGAGGAAGAGCTTCTGCTTCACATGCACCGTGGCTGGCACAAGCCCCCTATTTTGCAGACGAGACTGAGACAGGAAATGTGTGGCCACCTGTCCACGCCTGAGGCCAGGCTGCAGCTGAGCAGACTGGAAGGTCTGTCCAGGCAGAGCCCGAGGCCGCCCGCAGTAGGTTGTGCAGGGGGTGGTGCAGGGCTTCCTGCTCTCCACCGTCCTGCCGAGACCTTGGCACAGGTTCACAGAAAGGGCAGTTTTGGGATTCTTTCCTTGGAGGCAAGCAGAGAACAGAGACATATCTTCTGCTCACTCTTAGCACACATAATTTTTTTTTTTTGCTGAATAAATGAATTTATTTCTGAAGAGCGAAAAAATCTGAAATATAATACAAGGCCAAACTTTACCATCTGGATGTTATCTGATCTGGTCCCCACTCCTCATTAGCATTGCCAGCACTTCCAAGGCTAGCTTTGGAAACCTCCAGCGGCAGGGAGCTCACTGCCGACAAAGCCAGCAGTTCTTCCTCATTCTGAACCAGACCCGCACCCTGGAGACAACTCTGCTTTCTGTGTCTCCACAACACCATCTGAGGCAACGCAGGTTCTTGTAAAGAATGTAGACTCTGGCCCTGGCCAGTGTGGCTCAGTTGGTTGGGCGTGGTCCCACAAGCCAAAGGTCCCGGTTCGATTCCCAGTCATGGCATGTGCCTGGGTTGCAGGTCAGTCCCTGGTTGGTGCACATATGAGAGGCAACCAATTGATGTTTCTCACATGTTTCTCTCCCTGTCCTTCTCCTTCCCTTTCCATGTCTCTAAAAAAATAAACAAATAAAATCCTAAAAAAAAATAGGAATATAGACTCTGGTGTCTGACAGATCCAAGTTCAAATCCCAGCTCTTACCAACTGGCGTGTCCCTGGCCCTGCCTGGGCCACTGGCCCAACAGGACGGATCTGGGGATAAAAGAGGACGTATGCAGGGTTGGGTACACAGAATGCTAGAATAGTGTCCCCTGACCCTGTCTCCTCCCAGTAACGGTCACCTGGGGTCTGCTCTTAGCCAGTCACCTCCAGTTCCTGTCAGGTGTGATGTACACACCCACCCCATCTGTTTACTCTCCTCCAAATGCCACCAAAGATGTCTCCTTCCCCTCAAAGCAACACTCAAACCTGAGCATCAGCTGGGGCAGGGGAAGAGGGGGCCAGGGACCTACTGGCTATTAGGTTATTACCTGGGGATTGGTAATAGTGGGAAGGCACTGATATCTCTGGATTTACTTCACCCAGAAAGCCCACCACACCCTCTTTCCTCAGCCACTGCCCTATCCAGCTCTGGCTCTGAGGGAGGGGGTGCTTAGCTCGTCCTGGGTAAAGCTGCTATCTTCTTCTTCCCTGGGTTGCCCCTGCAGCTGGAGCATGGTCTCTGTTCATCCCGTCTCCTGACCCCTGCCCCACTCCCAGTCCATTCTGCCTCCTCAATCCCTCTCCAGTCCATTCCCACCTCCCCCGCCTGGACCCAGGGAGGGCTGAAGTTATCACTAGCGTGGATCTTTGCAAACATCTCGCTGTGCTCTTCAGGCTCCATTCTCCAGCAGGTTTTTAAAAAAATTACAAGTCTGGCCCTGACCGGTGTGGCTCAGATGGTTGGGCATTGATCCACAAGGTGAAGGGTCACTGGTTCGATTCCCAGTGAGGGCACAGTCCAGTAGCAGTGCATGTGGGAGGAGGTCATTCAATGTTTCTTTCACATGGATCGTTCTCTCCCTTTCTTTCTCCCTCCCTTCCCCTCTCTGTCTAGGAATGAATAAATAAATCTCTAAAAAAAATTACAAGTCTGCCATGTTGCCCCACCCCACTAGCTTCCAGGAGGGAGGGTCCATGCCACACTGCTTGTGCAGCACCCTAGGCTTCCCTGCCTGCCTGGGCCAATCTTGGTACCCCCCCCCCCCCCCACTGTCTGCCCCTTCAGCACTGAAACCACTGGCTTTCAAAACTGGGTTCGTCTTCTCTCTTGACCATACCTCTGTGCCCCCATTTCTCTTCACCCGGCTCACATGCCACTCTTTGCGCCCACCCCCAGCTTCTGTGGCCATTCCTCTGTAAAATCCCCCACCTCCCTTCTGCAGGGAGCTCAGCTCTCTGGGTCCACAGCTGCGGTTGGGAGGGGTGGTGAGGAGCTCCGTGGATGTCATTTTCACCTCCAGGCTACCCTGACCTCAGCACGTCAGGGTCCATAGTAGGATCACGCGCAGACAAGGGAGCGAAGGGCTTGACTTTGGTGCTAGGCAGTCCTGGGTTCGCTTCCAGCCTCCCGCACTCAAGTGCTGGAGGACCCTGGGCAAATGACTGCACCTTTCGGAGTCTCATCTTTCTCATTTCTACTCAAAGCGCGCAGACGCTCCAGGTGAGGGACTGGCGCGCTCTTTCTCCTCCACCCCGTCCCCGCCACCCGGGGGCGAGGTGCAAGTCGGCGGGTCTCTGGCCAGAGCTGCAGACAACATGCCCGCCCCCGCCTGGGTGGGCAATGAGTAACCAGCTCTGCGGTCAGGGTGCTCTTTGGACGGAGCGGGACAAAAGGCCCTGTGTGCGCTGCGGGTTACTGATTTACCGCCCCCTTCACCCCCCCTGCCCAGCGGACGCCCGGGTCCCCAGCGCTGGGAGCGGGCAGCTCCAGGAGCCCCATCGCCGCTCGCCCCCTGGCGGCTGGGAGCGCAGCCTGGGTCCGCACTGGGTCCCGGCTCACCTGCAGCCTCCGCGGGCCAGCTCCCGGGACAGGGACCCCGGCTCGCCTGGGTACTCCGCGGCCTGGGTCCTACCTTCTACCAGCCGGGACCCCGGAGCCCAGCTAGGATGGCGGACTCAGCCAGGGCGCTCCTCCGCCCGGGGCTGGAGAGCTAGGAATGTACCCGCAAAAGCCGCGTGGCCGCAGGCGTCCCAGCGCCCCGCCCCCGGCCCCGCCCCCCTTGGACCAGATCTCTCCTGACAGCGGCGTGGCTGCGGGCCACACAGAATCCCACCCACCTGGAGACCAGTCCCCGAACCCAATAGCGCGGAGCTACCGGCAGGATCGGCCCAGTCCCAGGGCTCCGCCCCAGCCTGCACCTTCCCCCTCAGACTCTCCTCTTTTGCCCCACCCAGGCCCGGCTTCGAAGCTGTAGTCCAGGCTCTACCTCCCGCTCGTCAGCCCTGGGGGACGAGACCCAGCAGTCCGCACCCCCGCCGCCTCTGCAGACCTTGGCCCAGCCTGGCTCCTCTGTCTTCTGCGCGATCGCCAGAGAGAGGCCGGCGCAGCGCTTCTGCTCCCATCCCCACACAGTCTTTGCACAATCTTCAGAGTTACCCTTAAAATACAAATCTGACTACCAGCCACAGCGATCCCTTTCAAACTTTCCAACAGCTTCCTTTAAAGGCCCTGGCTGGATAGTTCGGTTGGTAAAGTCGTCCTACCGATAAGCAAGGTTGCTGGCCAGTGCACGGGCAAGAATCAACCAATGAATGCATAAATAAGTGGAGCAACACATCGGTTTCTCTCTTTCAATCTCTTCCTAAAATCAAAACATAAATTTAAAAAGTTGAAAAAAAGATCCTTGGCATCGCCCCCCCCAAGTCTCGTCTCCACTGCTTCCTCGCTCCCGCAGTACCTCCGGGTCTTGGCACTTGTGTTTTCTGCCTCCGGGAAAGATCTTTCCCCTCTAGGTCCTCTCTTTCTTAGGTCTCAGTTCACTTCCGCAGAGAAGCCCTCTGGACTTGCCAGGTTCCTCTTTAGATCTTTTCTCCTGTGAGCATGGAGAAAGAAACGGGAGTGTGGGGGCGGGGCGCGGTGGGGCAGGGGAGGTGGACCCGGTGGTGAAGTGGTTCCTGGCGCAGACCGCAGGGCTCAGTCAGCACCAGCACCCGTTGCTTTGGCGAGTTACCGTACTCCCTCCGAATCTTCATTTTCTCTGCAGGAGAGCAGTTGAATTGATAGTGTACCGTCCTCAAGGGGTTGAAAAAAGTGGACACGTTAGTATGTGCAAACCTTTAGAACACTGCTTGACTTAGATGTGCACTTGCTTCGTAATGCTAGCTGTGATTATTCCTTTATTTTTTCTTAATTTTTAAAAATCTTTCAATTACCACTGGCATACAATGTTATTTCAGGTGTATGACATATCAAGTGGATATTTATGTAACTTACGAAGTGACCCACCTGACACCATACATCGTTATTACAATATTATTGATTGTGTTCCCTGTGCTGTACGTTACACTCCCATGACTATTTTGTTTTTTTAAGATTTTATTTACTTATTTTTGGGGAGGGGAGAGGGAGAAAGAGAGGGAGAGGAACATCAATGTGTGAGAGACACGTGGATCTGCTGCCTCTCACACAGCAATAACCCAACAGGGGACCTGGCCTACAACCAGGCATGTGCCCTGACTGGGAAACGAACTGGCGATTTTTCCATTCACAGACTGGCACTCAGTCCACTGATCCACATCAACTACGACTATTTTGCAATTGGCAATTTGTAGGTCTTAATCCCTTCACCTTTTCCACCCATGTTCCCAAACCCCAACCGTGTGGCAACATCAAAATGTTCTATCTATGAGTTTGTATCTGCTTCTGTCTTGCTTGTCTATTTATTTTTTAGAATTCATGTATAAGTGAAATCATATGGGATTTGCCTTTCTCTGTATGACCTATTTTGCTTAGCATAACACTCTCCAGGTCCATCCATGTTGTTGCAAATGGGAAGATTTCATTTTTTTAATGGCTGAGCAACATTCCATTGTATGTATGTATCACATATTCCTTATTCATTAGTCAACTGAAGGACACTGAGGTTGCTTCCGTATCTTGGCTGTTGTACGTAACACTGCAGTGAACTGAGGGCTGCATATGTAGGACCTGCTACTTGTTCCCATATTCCAGAATTGTGTCTAAACAGTTCATTTTGGAAATAGATGGCAGACTTTGCCGCTATATCTCAAGAGCCCAGTATAGGGTAGGTGCCCCCCAAATTGCTCCACTCCACCTGGTTCAGGTTCACCTTACCTGTGTAACAGTGGAACATTGTAACATTGCGGAAATCCTACCTACCCCATGATTCTTCTGACGTTGTTTCTGTGAGTGTCTATTCTGACTAATGTGTAGCTGGTAGATGAACAGCATGTTTGTGTAAGAATCCTAGGAACTAGTTTCGAAAGATACAGACCCCGGCCTTGAGGCATCCCAGCTGACCTTCGTCCATGGAGCCCCGATGACCTGAAGCTGGGACGACTAAGCCAGGAAGACACGCACCGGACCTCCGCTTCTCTTATCAGTGTGGACTGTGCTCTTCTGCACATAGAGCACTTTTCAGCCCCCTCCCTGGATCTCCTTGTTCTGTCCCCCCTCCCTCCTTACAAACACCTCTGCCTCCACGGAGAGGGGGAGATGGGCTTTGTGACAGGAGTCCCCCCACTTCCAGGTGGCCAGCACCTGAAAATAAACCACTTTCTTTTACATCAGCACCTGCCTCTCTTAGCAGCAGGCAGCCAGACCTGCTTCCGGTTACACCTGCAAGCAGTTCTCTCTGGAGCATTTAGACAGTACCCAAATGGGAGGTCAGCCGACCTTTGACCTGTGCCCAACCCTCACCCGAGGTCCAAGCCCTCCACTCCTCTGAAGGCTCCTGGGGGAGAGGGGGAACCCTTCAGCTCGGGTCTTAGTTTACCTCCCAGTTAGTCCTAGGCCGGTGGAGACATTGGCCATGGGAAGCAACTTCCTTTCCCATTGTTATGCCAAGAAGCCTCGTCTCTCGCCCTTAGTCCCCGGGAAGCGGGGGCGGGGTGTGGCGTGCGTCAGGAGGTGACGGCTTCCTTTGCATAACTAAAAGGCTCATTAAAGTGATTTGTTTCTTTTATCTTTCTTTTCCTTCTCAAATAAAAAAAAATGGTCTCCTTCCAAAGATAAATCAGAAGGGAATTGGCTGTCTTTTCAAAATAGTTTGTCCCGATTCCTCTCCTCCAGGTCCCTGTTTGCTGGAGCACCCTGAAAGGTCGAGGCTCCTGGCACTGGGGGTGCCCAGCAAAGGGGAGACTCCTGCCCAGAGGGGGACCTCACCAGACCCCCTGGACTCCTGGAGAGACTCAGCCCCCACCTCTGGTCTTCTGCCGGCTCTCTAAGTGAACGTGGCTGTTGCCGGCAGTGTGAGCTGCCAGCAGCAGCTGGACCCCACACATATTTTATTCAGCTTCCAGGCACTTTCCAGTTTCCCTGAACCAAAGGTAAGGGCTGCCTCCAGAGATGCCCAAGTTCCTTAGATTGGTGCCCCGCCCCCCCCCGCCCCCACATCCCGACATCCCTCGTCCAGCCCCCTTTCGCACTTACACCTCACAGGCTGACCCCGTGCGGAGTCTGACACTCTCCCAAGGTCATTCACCCACTCGTTCTTTCACCAGCTGCTCGTTTTGTGGCTTGCACTCTTCTAAAGCGGGGGTGGGGTGGGGGGGTGGGAGGCCGAGATCAGACCCTGCCTCTGCCCTGCGAGCAGCTGTAGACCCCGTGGTGGGGAGGGAGAGATGAGTGAACAGCACCTGCGGAGGGTTCCATCCCAAGCATACATCCCCCTCACGGTCTTATTCTCTTGCTAACAATCGTGTCACCAGTTGCATTTGCAGATTCTCTCAAAGACTTTTAATTGCTTTTTATCCTCTCCGGAGGACATCCTTATTGATTTTTTTTTAGAGAGGGGGAATGGAGGGAGAGCGAGAGAGACAAACAGAAACATCGGTGTGAGAGAGAGAAACATCGATCCGTTGCTTTTTGCACGCACTCCCACCTGGAACTGAGCCTGCAACCCTTCAGTTTCCTGGACAACACTCCAACCAACTGAGCCACACCAGCCAGGGCTCAAAGACTTTTAAACACACTCACAACCCCCCCCCCAAAAAAAAACAATAAAAACAGAAAACTCAAAAGCAACAACAACAAAAACAGAAAATGGGCACACTCCTGCTTCCTTTTTTTTTTTTTTTAAGATTTTATTTATTTATGGAGAGAGGGGAAGGGAAGAAGAGAAACATCAATTGTGGTTGCCTCTTGAGCGCCCCCCCTACTGGGCACCTGACCAGAAACCCAGGCATGTGCCCTGACTGGGAATGGAATCAACTATTCTTTGGTTCACAGGCCAGCGCTCAATCCACTGAGCCACACCAGCCAGGACCACTTCTGCTTCCTTTTCCTCAGAGGTGTTGGAGGAAATGAACAAGTTAAGGGATGGGAATGAGTTCCCCAGAACAGAAAGCAGAGAAGTTCTTACCTTGGCTGAACTCCCATTATACGCCAGGCACTTGCTAGGCTAGGCATTACTCACGCAGTACATCTTTCTATCCATCTCCAGAGCCAAATGGCGCTAGAGAGCCTTAGCTCTGTTTTGCAGGTGAGGAAACGGAAGTTCAGGCACGTGGAATGACTTGTCTGTTGAAGTCACACAGCATGTGAACAACAGAACGGAAATTTGAACCCTAAGCACTTGGGATACAGAGGGCGAGCTCAGGGTAACTCCGCAGAGCTGGGATTGTTGATGTTAACACATCAGCGCACTTTCTGCCCCCACCCTTAAATGGGGCCAAGAAGGTGGAGATTCACTCACCTGAGGATGAGTGGGGCGTGGGAGCAGGGTCTGGGTATGGTTCTCCCCACCCGTTGGGCAGGGACTGAGTGGGCACCTGAGAAGAACCAGGCCCCTGGAAGGGGTTGCAGACCCTGGGCTCCTGGAGTGCCACGCTGGGCCAGGAGGGACTCCTAAGCGGGGTTGGGGGAGGCGGCATGGCCCGGTGCTGACTGGGCTGCTTCTGGTGGGCAGCCGACGCAGGGCCGACGCAGGGAACACCCGGGCTCTTGTGCAGAAGAAGGGCTGCTCTGAGCTCCTGCCCAGGCCTGGCCCCTTCTGCCGACCTAGTCCTGTGTTGTCTTGTCTTCTGTCCTTCATTTTTTTTAAAAACAATTTTTATTTTGAGAAAGATCTTTTAAAAAGATTTTATGTATTTATTTCCAGAGAGAGAAGGGAGGGAGAAAGAGAGAGAGAGAGAGAGAAACATCAGTGTATGGTTGCTGGGGGCCGTGGCCTGCAACCCAGGCATGTGTCCTGACTAGGAATCAAACCTGCAATGCTTTGGTTTGCAGCCCGAGCTCAATCCACTGAGCTACGCCAGCCAGGGCTTGAGAAAGATTTAAAATACAGATAAAGTACACAGGGAAATAGCCTACAGTTGCCACTCAGAACTGACAATTGTTCTTCCTTACCACTGTATCCAACCCTTTTCTGCCCTGGCTTCCCTCATGGGTTCTGGTGGCTTGGCTCGTGGAAATGGAGGTGACATTGACAGCAGCTGAGTGGGAAGGGTCAGGTGTTAGAGCCCAACAGGTGTGGCTCTGGACCCTGAAAACTTTGTGACCTTGGACAAGTCACTTAATGTTAAGCCTCAGTTTTGTTTTCTGTCAAGTGTAATAGTTCTGTCAAATGTGAGACTCAGTGTGATAAATATGTAAAGCCTAAGGCACACAGCCCATGTTCAGTAAAGAGGGCGAATGTTTTTTTTAAAGATTGCATTGTATTTATTTATTTATTTATTTATTTCAGAGAGACAGAAGGGAGCGAGAAAGAGAGGGAGAGAAACATCGATGTGTGAGAGAGAAATATGGATCGGTTGCTTTTCGCACTTCCCTGAGGACCTGGCCCACAACCCAGGCATGGGCTTTGACCGGGAATCGAACTGGTGACCTTTCAGTTTGCAGGATGACGCTCAATCCACTGAGTCATACCAGCCAGGGCTCCAATATTAATATTAGCAACAGTTGGCCTATGTGGGACACACCCCAAGATATGAGAGAAACACACTCCTGTGACCAAGAGGGAAGGACTATGAGGGTCACCCTTCTTCCAGCCATGGTATCTCTTCATTCCCTCCCATTGGGCACATCTGTGTCCAGTTTCTACCCTGGAGATAACAGCCCCGAACCACAGGCTGCCCCGGGCACTGTGCTGTAGTCAGGGAGCCTGGCGCTGGGATGGCAGCCTGGGGAAACTTGTGGGGAGGCCCTTTGGACGAAGCCAGATTAAGGGCAGTGGGCTAGGAAGGATCCGAGGCTCTCTCTCCGCGTCAGTCCTGCTGCTTCCTGGAGTCAGCCACACCCGGGCCTGCTTGCCCCCTGGTCTCAGGCACTATGGGCTGTGCCCTGCTAGATGGGACAGGGGTGTCTTGGGGCTCTCCTGGTTTGCTAGAGTTTGCCCACAAGCTCTAGACACGGGCCCTCAAGCCTCACACCCACTGGTGTTATCTTGGACATTTGTTTGGAGGAGAGAGGGGGCCTGAGCAGCTGGGAAGTGGCAGAGGTTGGGCAGGAAGGATCGAGGATTGGTGGGCCCTCACTCTTCTCTACCTTGCCTGATTCCCAGCTAAACCACGTAAGATTTCATTTAGGCACACATAACAGAAAACCTAAGTGACAAGAACTTGAACAAAATAAGGATTTATTCACCCCTCACTTAGCCTCACTTAGTCTGGAGGTGGGTGAAGGTGGGTCCGAAGTCAGGGCTGTGGTCTCTTCAATTTTCTACACTTTTCTCTTGTGGTTGAAAGATAGGAGCTTCAGCTCCTGCCATCACACCTATGCTCAGGCAGGAGGAAGGAAGAAGACACAAAGAGTTGTTACACCCAGCAACTTCAGATTTTATCTCTGCCCAGACTGTGACATGGCCAACCCTAGCTGCAAAAGAGGCTGGGAAGTATATTCATTCTGCTGGACACATTGTCTCCCCTAACAAAACCAGAGTTTGTTAAAAAGAAGTGGCAGCCCTGGCCAGGTAGCTCAGCAGGTTAGAGCTTTATCCTGATACACTAAGGTTGTGGGTTCAATCCCTGGTCAGGGAACATAGAAGAATCAACCAATGAGTGGAACAACAAATCCATGTTTCTCTCCCTCTCTTTCTCTCTCTAAAATAAACCAGTTAAAAACCAAAAAGACTGGCCTCTGCTCCTCTCTCCTGTCCCATCTACTCTCTCCCCGGAGATACCTCCAGCTTCACCGAGCTCCAGGCAGGCCCTCCTGAACAAGGCCCATGGTTCTCATCCTGGTGCCTTCGCATCTGCTGCCCTTGTGCCAGGAAGGTCCCTCCTCCCGGCCCTTCAGGCGTCCCACCATGGCTGCCATCCAGTTTTCTGGACTCCTCTCAGGTGGTTCTTATTCTCTGAGGCCCTTCCTGGTCACATCCCACTGGACAAATAACCCTTTTTCTCTCTCTGTGTGGAAACAGCTCCTTGTTTTTCTTTGAGGTCCTGGCCCTCTCCTACTTCTTGTCCATGGGGCCGGGTCGGGGTGCTGATGTAAGAGCTGTCCAGCCCTGGCTGGTGTGGCTCAGTGGACTGAGAGTCGGCCTGTGTTCCTAAAGGTTCCTGGTTCAATTCCCAGTCAGAGCACATGCCTGGGTCATGGGCCAGGTCCCCAGTAGGGGGTAAGCAAGAGACGACCAGTTGATGTTTCTCTCACACATTGATATTTCTCCTCTCTCTAAAAATAAAATAAAAAAAATCTTTAAAAAGAAAAAAAAACCCAAACCTGCAGAGGGTATTTGTAAGAGTTTATCTGAGCCGAACCGATGACTTATTCAGGGGAGCACGATCTCAGATGCTCCAGAGGGTGGTTCTGCAGTTTCTTTTACACCTTTGAAATTAAGGAGGGAAGTAAGGAAGGATCCAAGAGGGTAGGAAAAAGCAAGGTGTGGGTTGGATTATGAGATTTTGTGCTCTCTTAAGGGTGGTTACGCCTTCTCAGGGTATCACTTCTGACACTTCAAAGGTGTGTTAACCTAGATGCACAAGGACAATGCATAAGGCTGACTTAAAGATCTTCTGCTAAGGAAGTTATAAGCCTGGGGTGTGACTACGTGCCATGACCTGCCCAGTTAGGAATTTATGATTGTATTACAGTGTCCCTTTTTCATCCACCAGGGTTTGGGTAGGACTGTTCGCGGTGGCAAGAACTGCACCAGGTGCTGGACAGACCCGACCTGGGTTCAGCAGCCTCAGTACTTGAGTTCTGGCTGGGAAAGAATTCAGAGCCACGGCTCAAACTATAAGAGAAAGTATAGTTAGAAAGTCACAGAGGTAGAAGAAGTGAGTGGTAGAAGAAATGTGCTCAGGAAGCAAGTTACAGAGGCGAAGCAAGTTGGAGCTTCAGAGAGAGAAGAGAGAAGGGTAGCCATAACAGGCCTGAGGGCAGGGGAAAGGTTCAACAGTGCTCCTGGGAGAGAGCATGCTAGGCCCTCCATTATGAGGGATTTCATTTTTCACATATATTTTTAAAAGATTTTATTTTTTTTATTTTTAGAGAGGGAAGGGAGGGAGAAAGAGAGAGAGAGAAACATCAATGTGCAGTTTCTGGGGGTCGTGGCCTGCAACCCAGGCATGTAGCCTGACTGGGAATCGAACCTGCGACACTTACACATATTTTTATTTATTTTTAGAAAGAGGAGAAAGGAGGGAGAAAGAGAGGGAGAGAAACATTGATTGGTTGCCTCTTGTAACTGCTCAGAGCAGGGACTGAACCCACAGCCCAGGCATGTGCCCTGACCAGGATTGGAACTGGCAACCTTTTGCTTTGTGGGCTGATGCCCAAGCCACTGACCACACTGGTCAGAGCCATTATAAAAGGATTTTAAAGGCAGGGATTTTAGGGGAGGTCCCAGGGGACGAACTCAATAAAATATTCATCAGCTTTTCAGGTGTGGCCTTTTAGGGTCCTGGTCTCTTCTGATTGGTTGGCACCAGGGCAAGAGGTCATTGGTCAGTGCAGCTGGTCCTGGCATCACCCATCTGGTTTTGCTGCTTTTCTAGGCCTGGAGCTGAAACACAACTAAGGCCTAGATGTTATCTCCAGGGAGGAGTGGTCAGGAGATCTAAACCCGTGACAAGCCCTGGCTAGTGTGGCTGAGTGGATTGAGTGCCGGCCTGTGATTGCCAGACAGGGCACATGTGTGGGTTGCAGGCCAGGTCCTCGGTAGGGAGCGCTCGTAGAGGGCACTCAAGAGGGAACCACACATTAATGTTTCTCTCCCTCTCTTTCTCCCACCCTACCCCTCTCTCTATAAATAAATAAATAAATAAATAAATAAAATCTTTAAAAAAATCCCGTGACCAGCGATGTGAAAGGTCCGAGGGTCCAATACCCGTGATCAGTGATACGCTAGAGGAAGAAAGGTTACCTAGGGTGCTTGATCCTTGCTTTCCCAGTTTTTCCTGTTGCTAGGCGCCTGGGGCTTTCTGCTCTGGTGACCTTCTGCACCTGGCCTACTGTGCTCCGCTCATGTCTGTCTAACTGCTGACCACAGAACCAATGCTTCTCCCTTGCTCCTGTGGTGAGCAGGTGCCCCTGAACCTGGCTAATGAGAATATTTCACCACCCCCAGGCTACTGTGATTGGGTCAACGATGAGTATGTGAGCCAAGCAGGGCCAGTGAGAGCCAGTCTGGGCTGTTCACTGGAACTAACAGGAAACTAACACTCTCAGAGGTTACTGAGATATGAAGATGGAAGCCTGGAACTGCTTGAGAGAGATTGCCTGTGAAGGAAGCCCACACAGGAAATAAGAGGGCCAAGAGATGGAGTGTGCCTGGATCCAGCCATGCCTGAAGCCATTACCTCTTTGAACATTTCATTTATGTGAGCCAAATAGGTTTTTTCTCTTAACCTAATTTTACTTCTCTTTTTTACTCTTTATAAATAAAAGACTCCTAATAAATTACTTCCCAGTAGAAACCCCTCCTCCCTTCTTTGTGTCTCCACTATCCTCTGTCAGCTCCTAGGCCATAGTACTCATTTGTTTACGTATCAGCAAATTCATCATGGCATTGCTCCTATTTGTTTAAAACCTGTCATGTGTTCCCATTGCTTTTATTTTAGTTTCTTTTTTATTTATTGGTTTTTGGAGGTGGGGGGACATCAATTAGTTGTTCCACTTATTCATGCATTCATTGGTTGATTCTTGTATGTGCCCTGACGGGGGATCGAGCCTGCAACTTTGGTGTATGGGGATAATGCTCTAACCAACTGAGCTACCCAGCCAGGCCCCCCTTTCCATTGCTTTTTGGAGAAAGACCTGTATTAGATATCTATTATTACAGAAAAAAATTACCCCAAAGCCCTGGCTGGAGTGGCTCACTGGATTGAGTGCTGGCCTGCAAACTGAAGGTTCGGGGGTTTGATTCCGGGTCAGGGCATATGCCTGGGTTGCAGGCCAGATCCCTGGTTGGGGGCCTGCAAGAGGCAACCAATCAATATTTCTCACTCACATAGTTGTTTCTCTCTCTCTCTTTTTTCCCTCCCTCTTCTCTCTCTTAAAATAGAGAAATAAAATATTTTTAAAACATTTAAAAAATTACCCCAAAACTTAAAATAAATATTTGTCAGGAGACCCCCATTTCTTTCCATGGGAGCTTCTCCCCAGGGCTGCTGTGTGTTCTCATGACATGTCACCTGGTTTCCCTCCCAGCCGCTGATCCAAGAAAGACTGACACTGCCCTGTCTTTCAGGACTTACTCTCAAAAGCCACACTTCAACGCTTCTACCTTGTTAAAAAAATTTAATTTATTTTTGGGGAGAGGGGAAGGAAAGAAGAGGAGAAAAACATCAGTGAGTGAGAAAAACATCCATCTGTTGCCTTTCTCATACCCCCTATTGGGGACCTGACCTGCCCTCCAGGTATGTGCCCTGACTGGGAATTGAACGAGCAACCTTTCGGTTCACTCAGTCCACTGAACCATACCAGCCAGGGCTATAGAACCCCTTTGTTATCCACACTAATTATAAGCCCACATGGGAGAGGGGAGGGGAGTAGAGGGAGGAGATTAAACTTGACCTCCTGAAGAGAACAATATAAAGAAATTTGTCGACTTGCCCTGGCTGGTGTAGCTCAGTGGATTGAGCACTGGCCAGTGAACCAAAGGGTTGCCAGTTCGATTCCCAGTCAGGGTACATGCCTGGGTTGCTGGCCAAGTTAAGTCCCCCGTAGGGGGCGCGTGAGAGGCAGCTGCATTTTGATGTTTCTCTCCCCCTCTTCCCCTCTAAGATAAATAAATAAAAATTTTTAAAAAAGAAGAAATCTGTGGATTTACTTCAGAACCACCCCAAGATCAGATCTTCCCCCCGGTGGACTCTTTGCGAAGTTTGGGAAATACCCTCATGTTATGTGCAGAGTTCACCTCTCTTGATTAAAGCTCAAAATGCTAACTGTCTTCCAGCCAAGGCTCTGTTTCCACCAGCTCATGGCACCCACTCTGGGGAACCAGGGATGCCAGGAGGGGATTGGGAGGCCCTGGGCACAAGCAGCAGTGTTCAGTGTGACGGAGGCAACTCTGAGGTTTCTGCGCCTGCTCTGCAACGCTACTTAGGTGGCACAGACCCAGTTCTGTAGTGCTCTTGGTAGTTTCACAAACTTGGACTAGCTGGAGTTGGTTTCTGTGTTTGTTTTTTTTTCCGCTTCTTTTTAGAGAGAGGGGAAGGGAGGGAGAAAGAAAGGGAGAGAAACCTCGATGTGAGAGAGAAGCATCGATCGGTTGTCCTTGTATGCTCCCTGACCTGGACGAACCTGCAACCCAGGCATGTGCCCTGAGTGGGACTCAAACACAGGACCTTTCGGTTTGTGGGACGATGCCCAACCTACCGAGCTGCATCCGTCAGGGCGCTGCTGAAAATCTCCATACCTCCTGAGGGACTTGGCTCCTGCCTGTCCCTCTCTTTACCTAGTGGCATAGTCTCATATTCTCCCTCCTTCAAAAGGAGGAGCACCTTCTTGCCTCAGGACCTTGGCACATGCTGTTCCCTCTGCCTGGACCATTCCCGTCTCACACCTACCCCTTCCCTGGTCCCCCTCGCTGGCTAAATTCCTATTCAGCCTATAAATCTCAGTTTGCCTGTGGCTTCCTCAGGGAGACCTTCCCTGCTCCACCCCCACCCAGGCTCATCCCTCCCATTACACACCCTGGCTGCAGTGGCATTTGCCCTTTGCAGCACTTTACCTCAATTGCAGTGAATCATTTGTACTCATGAGGTCCTCGGGACGAAGACTTTGTCTCATTCCACAGCCTTGGAATAGAGGAGGGGCTGGGGAACAGTAAATTCCTTCCCCACACTCTCTAGAGACCTCTGGGTTACTCTGATACTCCTCTGCTGGGCCCTGTTGCACTTCTTGACCTTCCAGGAATATTTTCACTGGGTTTCAGGTAACAGATATCCCAACTCAAATAAATGTAAGCAAAATAGTAGATTTATTGGCTTGTACAATTTTAAAGTCCAGGGATGGATTTGGCTTCAGGAAGAGCTGGGTCAAGACTCACTCTCTCGCTGTCAGCATTAGTGTCATCTCCTTAGACACCTCCATCAATGAGAGCAGAGTGGAGGAAGAGTCAAGTGTATAGGCGACCCTGGAAAAGCAAGAGTTGGTGCTGCCTGTTGCTACAAGAACCAACAAGTAGAGACAGGGATTGAATATTTATAAGTGCTTTATTCAGATGGCTGGCGATCTGAGAAGATGGTGGGCTATGTATGCTAAAAGCTGTTTTTTTCCTTTTTTAAAAAAATATATTTTATTGATTATGCTATTACAGTTGTCCCACTTGCCCCCCCCTTTATTCCCCTCCACCCTGCACACCCCCTCCCACCCACATTCCCCCCTCTTTAGTTCATGTCCATGTGTCATATATATATACGTTCTTGGGCTTCTACATTTTCTATACTACTCTTAACCTCCCCCTGTCTGTTTTCTACCTACCATCCATGCTACTTATTCTTTATACCTTTCCTCCTCTCTCCCCACCCCACTCCCTATTGATAATCCTCCCTGTGATCTCCATTTCTGTGGTTCTGTTCCTATTCTAGTTGTTTGCTTAGTTTGTTTTTGTTTTATGTTCAATTGTTATAACTGTGAGTTTGTTGTCTTTTTACTGTTCATATTTTTTATCTTCTTTTTCTTAGATTAGTCACTTTAACATTTCATGTAATAAGGGCTTAGTGATGATGAACTCCTTTAACTGGACCTTATCTGGGCAACACTTGATCTGCCCTTCCATTCTAAATGAAAGCTTTGATGGATAGAGCAATCTTGGATGTAGGTCCTTGCCTTTCATGACTTGGAATATTTCTTTCCAGCCCCTTCTGGTGTGCAAGATTTCTTTTGAGAAATCAGCTGATAGTCTTATGGGAACTCCTTTGTAGGTTACTATCTCCTTTTCTTGCTGCTTTTTAAAAAATATTTTTTTATTTATTTTCAGAGAAGGGGGAAGGGAAGGGAAGGAAAGGAGAAAGAGAGGGAGAGAAACATCAGTGTGTGGTTGCCTCTTGTGTGCCCCCCATCAGGGAATTGGCCTCCAACCTAGGCATGTGCCCTGACTGGGGATCTAACTAGCAACCCTTTGCTTCACAGCCTGGTGCTCAATCCACTGAGCCACACCAGCCAGGCATCTCTCTCTTGCTGCTTTTAAGAGTGTCGCCTTCTCTTTAATCTTGACTAATGTAATTATGATGTGCCTTGGTGTGTTCCTCCTTGGGTCCAACTTCTTTGGGACTCTCTAAGCTTCCCGGACTTCCTGGAAGTCTATTTCCTTTGCCAGATTGGGAAAGTTCTCCTTTAGTATTGAATTGTTTAAATAACTTTTCCACTTGTTGCTCTTCCTCTTCTCCTTCTGGTACCTCTATAATTTGGATGTTGGAACATTTAAAGATGTCCTGGAGGTTCCTAAGCCTCTCCTCATTTTTTTGAATTCTTGTTTCTTCATTCTGTTCTGTTTAATGTTTCTTTATTCCTTCTGGTCCATACCGTTGATTTGCATCCTGGTTTCCTTCTCATCACTGTTGGTTCCCTGTACATTTTCCTTTATTTTACTTAGCATAGCCTTCATTTTTTCCTCTAATTTGTGACCATATTCAACCACTTCTGTGCGCATCCTGATTACTAGTGTTTTGAACTGTGCATCTGATGGTTGGCTATCTCTTTGTCGTTTAGTTGTATTTTTTTCTGGAGCTTTGAACTGTTCTTTCATTTGGGCCATTTTTTGTTGTTGTTGTTTCGGTGCACATGTTATGTAGCGAGGGGCGGAGCCTTAGGTGTTCACCAGGGCGGGGCAACCCACATGGCTGTGTTGTGACACTGTATGTGGGGCAGGGATCCGAGAGGGAACAATGTTGCTTGCTCAGCTCTCTGCTGGATTTCAGTCACTTCCCCTGCTTTCCACAAGCAAATTAGGCCCTTCTGGTGCTGATTCCCAGGTGGGTGGGCTTGTGTACATTCTAGGACCCTGTGAGTCTCTTCAACGGACTCTCCTGTTAGGCTGGGAGTTTCTCCCACTGCCTCCTCATCCCCCACAGGTGTTTTCAATTGGTGGTTTGAGGCTTTATTTCCCCAAACTGGGACCCTGGGTTGTGGGTCTCTCTGGATCCCCAGTTGTTCCTCCCAGTTTATCTGTGTGAGAATGTGGGACCGTCTGTCTGGTCCACAATCTTCTGCCTCTTGGGGTCCACCAGCTGCAGCCTTGATGTGAGTCCTCGTTGCCCCTCCTACCGGTCTGGATGAATGTTTCTTCTTTAACTCCTTGGTTGTCAGACTTCCATACAGTTCGGTTTTCTGTCAGTTCTGGTTGTTTTTTTTGTTTTTAAATTTGTTGTTGTCCTTCTTTTGGTTGTGTGAGGAGGCACAGTGTGTCTACCTACAACTCCATCTTGGCCGGAAGTCTCCTAAAAGCTGTTATAACATCTCATGTTAAGCCAACCTTTTAGAAGGCAGTCCAGCAGCGGTTTTCCTAGTACAGTGGCACCTTGATACTCATCATCAATTCATTCAGGAACTTGTGATGAGTGCCAAGAAACCTACGAGTACCAAATGATCAAGCATTTTCTCTTGAGAGGCAGCATCCTGACTCATACAAGTTCTCGCAAGTGCAATGAGTCCCGAGCAAGTGCTGAGTGCTGAAACATTTTTTTCTCCTCAAAATGCAAGGTATACAGGGGTTGGTGAGTTCTGAAGCCACAAGTACCAAGGTATGACTGTATTTCTTTTTCTTCTGATCAACAATTCTTTTTTTTTTTTTAGATTTTTTTCTTTTTGTTGTTCAAGTACAGTTGTCTCCCTTTTCACCCCACCACGTCCTCCACCCCACCCATCCCCACCTCCCACCCTCAAACCTATCCCTTTGGCTTTGTCCATGTGTCCTTTATACATGTTCCTTGATAGCCCTACCCCTATTTCCCCCCATTATCCCTCTCCCCACTCTCTCTCATATGATCTCACCTACAAGTTGAACCTAATGAACAAAACAAACAAGTATGCAAAATGTAACCAGAGACACTGAAATAAAGAAAATGAAAGATTCTAACTGTAAGTCCTTTATTTCAGCCTACAAGGAAAAAATGAAGGAGCTGTCCATGCTCTCACTGATTTGCTCCTGCTTTTACCCAGAACCTTGCAACATCAACATCTACACCTATGATGGTGAGTTTGACAATGGAAATGCCCCTGGCAGCTAGATCATTTGGAAAAGCTTAGATGCATTCATTTCTCTCTCACAACTCCTGATAGAATTAAATTGGTACTTGGTGGTTTTCGCTATTGACTTGCTATGTGTAGCTGTTAGGCCTTATTGATTGCCTATTACTCAAAACAGTTTAAGTTTGGTGCTAATAACAACACATTAACATCTCTTAAAAACATGGCTTAATTGTAATTGCAGTCATGTCTAGCATATCAATATCCACAAAATGTCCAAGGCTTTTCTTTGCAAATAATACAATGTGCTAAGTTCTAATTATAGCAGCTGATCAACAATTCTTTATCTGCATCATGGATGTTTCCTCCCTGGAATAGAATGGCTCAGATACCATCTCGATTGCTTGCAGACCTCCTGGGACACAAAGGTTGAATTGCTCATCCACCATCTAGAGTCAGTTCCTGGAACAATAGCTTTCCACATGCATTGATCAGTTAAGCCTATCAACTACAACTAAAACTAAAATCTTTCTCTCTCCTTCCTTAAAAGACTTTTTATTTATTTTTAGAGGGGGAGGGAGGGAGAAAGAAAGGGAGAAAACCACCAATGTGAACATCAATGTGTGGTTGCTTCTTGAGCACCCCCCACCTGGGACCTGGCCTGCAACCCAGTCATGTGCTCTGACTGAGAATCGAACCAGTGACCCTTTGCTTCACAGTCAGGCACTCAATCCACTGAGCCACACCAGCTGGGGCAAAAACACAGAATCTTATTGAATATCCTGTAAACCTGTCCCCATTGTGCTTTCTTCCACTGTCATGTAATCTTCCTTATATCCTGTCCTGAGTCTCAAGCGCATAACAGTCATTCTCAGGAGCATTTGAGTTCTTGCTCCTCTGGCAATTGTCATCGGTTTTGGCTTAAAGAAACTTATGTAGACAAACACTTTCTTATTCCTCATGATTCTGTAGATTAGCGGAACTCGCCTGGCCAGTTCTTCTGCTGGTATGTCCTCAGGTCACTTGCGCCGGTGACTCTGCTGTGCTGGAGGGTCTACAATGGCCTGCTCCACAAGCAGGACGCTGGCTGCTGGCTGCTCTCCACATGTCCAGCCTGGATTTCCTTTCACAGAGTCAGGAGTGTAAACTGCAAGGCCCAAGTCCTAGCCTTGAGAGTTGCACAATGTCACACTACTGCATTCTCTGATCAAAACAAATCCCCGACTGGGGACTGGGCCTACAACCCACACACGTACTCTGACCAGAAATTGAACTGGTGACTTTTTGCTTTGTGGGACAATGCTCAACCAACTGAGCCATGCCAGTCAGGGCAAACTTTTTTTTTTTTTAATTGGCTTTTAGGGAGAGTGAGGAAAGGGGGGAGGGGAGAGAGAGAGTAACATAAATTTGTTATTCTACTTATTGATGAATTCATTGGTTGCTTCTTGTATGTGCCCTGGCTGAGGATCAAACCTGCAACCTTGGTGTATCAGGATGATGCTCTAATCAACTGAGCTACCTGGCCAGGGCAGTTAGTCTTGAGGGTGGCCCAAATTCAAGGGGTGGGGGAATGGACTCCCCATTTCAATGGCTGGATTGACATGGTCACATTGCAAAAGGGCAGAGACACAGGGAAGCAAAGATTCATGAGAGGCCATTTTTGATATGACCAAGTATCTCTCTTCTAGGTCCCTTCATTAAACCTTCCCACCCCAGCAACCCAGTTCCTTTGACCTTGATGACCACTAGAGGCTCAGCTCCTTTAAAAAGTCTTTCTGTGGCCCTGGCTGGTGTGGCTCAGTGGACTGAGTGCCAGCCTGCAAACCAAAGGGTCACCAGTTTGATTTCCATTGAGGACACATGCCTGGGTTGCCGGCTGGACCCCCAGTAGGGGGTGTACAAGAGGCAACCACACACTGATGTTTCTCTCCCTCTCTTTCTCCCTCCCTTTCCTTCTCTCTAAAAATAGACAAAAATCTTTTTTTAAAAAAAGTCTTTCTGTAAAATCCCTACCAGCCCATACCCACTTTTATTCATTATCCATTAATTTACTCAACTACCACACAGTTATTAAAACTATCACAGTCCTATGCTGGACACTAGGGACAAATATGATGAATAAGACCCATTTCCTGCTCTCAAAGAATTTCTAGTCTAAAAGAGGAGACAGGGACTAAAACAGATGTTAACACAGTACATTAGGGGCAATGCCAGAGCAGGTACAGAACATCTGGGAGCACATGGAAAGGCAGTCGGCCCAGCCTTGGGGTCAGTGATCTTCTCCAGATGAGTAGATGTCTCCAGTTTGATAAGGGGAGCTGGAGCGTGTTAAGTAGAGCTCTTGGTTATAAGTGATAGAAACCCAAGTTAAACTGACTTAAGGAAAAAAGGAACTTACTGATCCATAACTAAAAAGTCCTGAGGATATTACTTTCAGGCAAGGTTGGATCCAGGTGCTTATCAGAAATTAGTCTCTTCTCATTTTTCATCTCCGTTTTCCTCTCTGTGCACTAAATTCTCAGGCAAATTGTCCTTATGTGTTGGCAAAGATAGCTCCTGACAGCTCCAGATGTATATGATCTGGTGGCCCAGCCCTGGGTCACAGGTTCCCCTGGGCCAAGGAGAGGGATCAGTCTCTCAAAGCCCCAGGGTCAAAGAATGGAGCTCAGAGGAAGAGTTAAACAAAGGCTGATGAATAGGCCAGGTATCAGGTATGCTCCCAGACAGGTGACTAAATTAAAGTTTTCGCAGGTGTCATCCAGAAAGAAATGTTATGAGGGGAGAGCCAGTTGGCCTTTGGGGCTCAGAAGATGCCATCCTGTACTCGTCTGCACTAAACCCAGTGGTAAGGTCCTAGGGCTGGTCTACTTAGCCCAGCCAAAAAAAAAAACCCCAAAACCAAACCAAACCAAACCAAAACAAAACAAAAAACAACAAAAAGGAGCGCTCTCCACCTAGTGGCCATTGGGGTCACTGCACCGCAGCCCAGACCATTACGGACTGGACGCTGGCAGAGTGAAGTTCCCTGACGCAGGAAACAGCGTTTGTGGGCAGGGAACAGGGAGTGCCAGAGCAGGGGCATGTCTGTCCTCTCTGTCATGTGGCCTTGGCACAGGGCAGCGTCAGTGAGGTTGTTAGGTGGACAGATGGTCAGAGGGGGAAGTTGAATTTGACGCTAGTGACCGTGGGGAGGAACGTCTGGGTAGGGGCGAGGGTGACTCACCCCTCAGCGGCTCCTGTGAAGGCAGGGCTTCCTTCTTCGCCTGCTCTGGGAAGAAGCCCTAACTGCCCCTCACCGCTGCCTCCTCAGGACTTCAGCTGGGAGCTGTGATTTCTTCCAACTTGTACTTCACAGAAGCGTCATGGCCTTCATGGGACTTGAAGTCCCATGAAGCTGGTAGCAGGGCTCAGACCCATGCCTGGGGACCCTGAGTACCAGGCCAGTGTCCCCCACACACTCCGTGGCTGCTATCTGGGTGTGTGCACAGCTCTGTGTCTGCACCACCCGAGATGACATCTCAACACAGCTTTGCATCCTGCTCTGGACGAAAGCATTACATGCATAGTTTCATCATGCATGTCTTCTCCTGGGGTGTCATTGGCTGCAGAACCAGGGTGCCTGGGGTGAGCTGAGGTGCCTTAGCAGTGGAAGGTGGTTTAAATTTTTTTATTTTAAAATATTTTACCTATTTATTTTTAGAGAGGGAAAGGGGGAGAGAGAGAGAGAGAGAGAGAGAGAGAGAGAGAGAGAGAGAGGGAGAGAGAGGGAGAAATATCGATGTGAGAAAAACATCAATTGGTTGCCTTCTGTACACGTTCAGGCTGGGGACTGAACGCACAAGCCAGGCTTGTGCCCTGACCAGGAATAGAACTGGTGACCTTTCATTTTGCAGGACACCCAACCAACTGAGCAACACTGCTCAGGGCAGTTTTATTTTTGTTAAACAAGCAAAAGTTTATTTAAAAAGCTGCAGAGGTAAAAGAAATGAGCCATGGGAGAAGTGAGCCAGCCAGGCTGCGTGGGCTCAGGAAAGAAGTTACAGAAGCAAAAGAAGGGCCCTTGGAGCTCAGGAGAGAGAAAACCAAGGCATGTGCCTTGAGGGAAGAAAGGGGGAGGAAAGGCCCGTATGGGCATGAGAGACAGACAGGCAGACAGACAGGCAGACAGACACCAGAGTGTGGGTTCTTGTCGGAGCCCAGGGAAGAGCCACTGCTGCCCCGTTCTGCCCCATTCCAGACTGAATTGTTTCCAGCACTGTATACATCATGGTCTTTTTTTTAAAATATATTTTATTGATTATGCTATTACAGTTGTCCCATTTCCCCCCTTCTCTCCCCTCCACTCTATACCCCTCCCCCACCCACATTCCCCCCCTTTAGTTCATGTCCATGTGTCATACTTATGAGTTCTTTAGCTTCTACATTTCCCGTACTATTCTTGCCCTCCCCCTATCTATTTTCAACCGACATTCTATGCTACTTATTCTCTATACCTTTCCCCCCTCTCCTCCTCCCACCCCCCCCCCTGCTGCTAGCCCTCCATGTGCCCTCCATTTCTGTGGTTCTGTTCCTGTTCTAGTTGTTTACTTAGTTTCTTTTGGTTTTGCTTTAGGTGTGGTTGTTAATAATTGTGAGTTTGCTGTCCTTTTACTATACATGTTTTTTCTTTATCTTCTTTTCTTAGATAAGTCCCTTTAGCATTTCATAAAATAAGGGCTTGGTGATGATGAACTCCTTTAACTTGGCCTTATCTGAAAAGCACTTGATCTGCCCTTCCATTCTAAATGAGAGCTTTGCTGGATAGAGCAATCTGGGATGTAGGTCCTTGTCTTTCATGACTTGGAGTATTTCTTTCCAGCCCCTTCTTGCCTGTAAGGTCTCTTCTGAGAAATCAGCTGACAGTCTGATGGGAACTCCTTTGTAGGTGACTGTCCCCTTATCTCTTGCTGCTTCTAGGATTCTCTCCTTCGTTTTTACCTTGGCTAATGTAATTATGATGTGCCTTGGTGTGTTTCTTCTTGGGTCCAACTTCTTTGGGGCTCTCTGAGCTTCTTGGATTTCTTGGAAGACTGTTCCCTTTGCCAGATTGGGGAAGTTCTCCTTTATTATTTGTTCAAATACGTGCTCAATCTGTTGCTTTTCTCCTTCCCATTCTGGTACCCCCTATAATTCGGATGTTGGAACGTTTAAAGGTGTCCTGGATGCTCTTAAGCTTTTCCTCGATTTTTTGAATTCTTATTTCATCATGCTTTCCTGCTTGGTTGATTCTATCTTCCTTCTGGTCCATTGTATTGTTTTGAGACTCAGATTCCTTCCTTTCACTATTGGCTCTCCTCTGCGTATCTTCCTGCATCTCTTTTATGGTAACCTGCATCCTTTCATCTAAATTGTGCCCAAAATCAACCAATTCCGTGAGCTTTCTGATCATTAGTGTTTTGAACTGTGCATCTGATAGATTGGCTATTTCTTGGTCGCTCAAAAGGATGAGTCCTGGGGGACTGATCTGTTCTGTTGGCAACATGTCTTATGTCTTTCCCTGTCTCTCCTTTTTTTTTTTTTTTTTTCTTTTTCGGTCTGGTCGCTCCTGTTATGGTGGGGGGCGGAGCCTTAGGTGTTCACTGGGGCTGGGCACCCCGGTTGCTAGATTGTGATGTTATATGTGGGGGTGGGGGCAGGGGCGGGAGCGGGAGCGGGGACGGAGGGAACAATGGCAGTAGTTCGGTTCTCCTGGGCTCAGATCCTTCTCTGAGATCCTGGGCTGCGAGCTCTGCCCTGGTCCACAATCGCTGCCTCACTGGGTCCCCCAGCCGCAGCTTGCGCACTCAGGGATCACCGCTGCGTTCTTGCACCCCGGATGGCTGTCGCACGGATTTCGCGCCAAATTTTTGCTGACCTCCGAGCGCCGCCAACCCGTGCCAGCCCTGTGTCTGCCCGGCTCGTCGTCTCCTACCAGTCTGGATGTACGGGTCTACTTCAACTTCTTGGCTGTCCGACTTCCAGTCAGATAAATCCTCTATCAATTCTGAGTGATATTCTATCTGTAAATTATTGTTGTTCTAATCTTGGTTGTGTGAGGAGGTACGGTGCGTCCACCTATTCCTCCATCCTGCCGGAAGTCCCATCATGGTCTTTTTAAAAAATGGAATTTATTGGGGTGACACTGGTTAACAACATTATATAAGTTATGTTTCAGGGCTACAATTCTATGATACATCATCTATATATTATAGTGTGTGTTCATCACCCCTAGTCAAGTCTCCTTCCATCACCATTTATCTCCCTTTACCCTCTTCCACCTCCCCCTGCCCGCTTTCCCTCTGGTGATGCCATGCTGCTATCCGTCTGAGTGTGTTTTTGCTCGTTTGTTTCTTAACCCCTTCACAATCATGGAGTCAATACAGGGGGCCATACCAGGTGCCCACTGTCTGCAGACCTATCCTCCTTCCTGCGGGACCCAGAACTTACTCCAGGCCAGCAGGAGGGGTGGCAGCAGTCACGGTTCACATGGCCTCCGCCATGTGTCAGCGCTGTGATGGCTTCACAGGCAGCAGTTCTTTTTTAGAAATTTTATTTATTTTTAACAATTTTATTTATTTTTAAAGATTTTATTTATTCATTCTTAGAGAGAGGGGAAGGGAGAGAGGGAGAGGAACATCCATGTGAGAGAGACTCATCAATGGGTTGCCTCTCACACACGCCCCGAATGGGAACCACACCTGCAACCTAGGCACATGCACTGACTGGGAATCGAACCAGCGACCTTTTGTTTTGTGGGACATCCGACTGATGGGGCCACACCGGTCAGGGCTATAGCTGTTCTTTTCATTTCCACAACAACCCTGTAAGGTAGGCATTGTTTCACTCTGTGGTGCAGGTCAGCTAACCAGATGACAGGACCCCACAGTGGCAGAGCTGGGACATGAACCCTTGCTGCCCAGCTGCAGAGCCCTAGTTCTTCACTATGGCTCTGCACCGCGTCTCCACAGCTGACTCCTCTCCTTCTGTGCCAACTTTCTTGGCCTCAGAGCCACGCACTGCGGCTCCCTCTGATGTTCACCTGCTGGGTCATACTGTGGGTCCTGGGCACTGACATCAGAGGCCATGGCAGGCTAGAGAATTTCGAAGCTGAGCTCAGGGCTAAACCGAGTAAGAGGGGCCCTAATGTGAAGTCAAGACCCTTGGGTTCAAATTCCTGGGTGTCACCAGATTGGCCAACATCAGAAAGGCTACCAGCAAGTGCTGACAAGGCTGTGGGACAAGCAGAACGCACCCACACTGCAGAACGCACCCAAGGCATCCACTCTGGAAAACCACTTGGCAGTGTCTGGGCAGGCAAGATGTGCCTGCTCTATGACATAGTGACCCCACCCCAGACACATGCATGCACTGCACACCCAACAACACAGGCAAGATCGTTCGCAATGGCTGTGTTTTCTGCAGTTCCAAACCAGGAAGAGCCCACTGTCTGTCGGCTGTGACATGGCTGAATTGTGGTACGTTCATATGAAAAAATGAACTTCTGACACACACAATAACATAGATGAACTCACAGACATAATATTGAATAAAAAAGGATGTATGGCTCTATTTTTATAACATTTAAGAGCAAGCAAAACTAATTTATGGTGATGGAGGTCAAAGTATGGTGCGTGAGTTCCCCCAGGACAAGGAAGTGTTCACCCCTGCATCCCCATGCCAACACGGCTAGGCACACAGACAGCTGGCAGGGACTCCTGGGCCCAGACAAGGTGGTCCTGCAGGCCAAGGCTGTGGCATGGTAGGGCAGCCCACCCACCCCTGCCCTCACATCCTTGCCAGCGGATGGATGGGCCCGATTCTGACACCTGGCTGGGGGAGAAGGGCTGGGGAAACTGCTGAGGCAGGGGGAGCTGAGGGCCTGTGGGGGCCATGGAGGGTCCTTCCCAGCTGGTGGCATACTGGTGCTCATGAACGGTGTGCAGAGTGAAGCATGGAGCCATGGTACACTGCACTCAGATCTGGCTGTCGGAAACAAAGGCCGGACAAAGGACTCCCAAAGCCAACATTCCCCTTCTTCAGCTCATTTCTGGGTCATGGAAAAGGTCCTCCCAAGATTACCAGGCCTAGGGGAAGTCCCATTGCTGTGGAAGAGCTGGGTGGGACAAGGCCGCCTCTGCTTATGCACCCTCACTCATTCAATCAACAAGCACCCAGGGCATGCCCCTCTGCGCACGGGGCAGTGGAGGCGAACAGGCTCAGTCTCTGTCCTGAAGGCTTAGCCTGGAGACAGCCATGCTGGGCGTGGGCTCATTTTGTCCTCCGTCTCTTTTCCTGTCCCCTGCATCCCTTCTGCACAGAGCAGCCAGAATAATCCTCTCAAGCAAAGCAGATTACGGTACTGGTTTAAGGCCTCTAAAGACCGCCAGAAGGTCCCCCACCACAGAAGCCAGGGGAGGTGGGGGAGGCTGTACGGAGTTTGGGGCACCCGGGGAGACTTCCACAGGGCTGCCAAACCACTGGGTTGTCTCTCTCTGTCCCTGAGAGAAGTGTTTAGAGCCCTGGGGGTCTGAAGGGAATGAGAGTGAGGGGTCGAGACACACACATTAGACCCAAGGGCAGCGTGGCCCAAATCCCAGTTCCGTTAAGTTGCAGTCTGGCTCGTGGGAGAAATTCTTTTTATTTTTCCTTGATTTTAGAGAGGAAGGGAGAAAGATCAATTTGCTGTCCCACTTATTCACACATCATTGGTGGATTCTGCTATGTGCCTGACTGGGGACTGAAGTCCCAACCCGGGTGCATGGGAACCAGGATCTAACCAACTGAGCTGCCCGCTGGGGCCGAGGAATTCTTTATTTAGATGCTCCAGTGACCATGTGACAGAGCAGAAGCATACACCCACACACGACACTGAAGGCGTTTCACAGTCGAGGGGCAGGGCGTGGGGGGAGGCCATGACAGCAGCTAGGGGCTTCTTTGACCCAACGAAGGGGGCCTCAGATGGTGTCACTTCCTAGGACTCCTGCTGGAGAAATACAAGGAAAAATCTACTCCCAGTGAATCCCAGGCCATAAAACATGGCAGCATCGGAGAAACCTAGGTTTGGGGACTGGGGAACTGACTCCTCACTGCTGACACTTGCCCCAACCCTCCTTTCTTTCCCGGGGGCCCCATCCCACGCCCTGGTACCCAGGAATCTCATGGTGGGGGAGGCTAGCACCACCTGGGCAGGAGGCCTGCTGCACACACACGAGGAGAGGGCTGGGGAAGCTGAAGGGCTGCGGGCCCAGGGCAGTCTGCCTTTGAGGGCACAGAACCATCACACAAACACGCAGGTGGGGGCTTTGCCAACTGACCCTGGGTCAGGGGCCTCGGACAGTGGAGGGAAAGGGTCCTGGAGCTCTCCATCCTCCCCCCGGGTACTGAGGCCTTCTCCAGCTCCAGCCTGTCCCCACTGCTGCAGGTCCTTAGCACCATTCAGGAACTGTGGGGGAGGGGCAGGAGGGACAGCAGTGCCCTGCCAGGGTTGTGGCACTGCTGCAGGAACTTCACTGTGGGCAGCAACCTGTACAACGGCCAGCAGCCAGCATCTGGTCCCAGGCTTGGTAAGCCTGCACTTTTGGGGGCAGGGGGAGTGTCACATTAGCTCCAAGCTCCCATGTGGCAGCCATGTTCATCTGCCCTTTCCTGCCTAGACCAAGGTCTGGGCAGAAGGGTCAGGTTTCACCGGAGGTGCCTAAAGCCCGGAGAGCTTAGTGGTTTAGCTGCAAGGACTGGTCCAAAAGTGACCTGCCGAGGAGACACAGGCCTGGAGCCTCACGACACGTGGCCCAGAAGGCCGGAGGAGGGGAGAGGCCATCCTCTAACTACCTCCCCATGAGTGCCCACATCCTCTCGGGCCCTGCTTCCCTTGTCCCGACCTACAGGCCCATTCCAACGGGCAGAGGCAGGGGTGGGTGTGCCTGGGCCACCTCGAGGCAGCCTGTGGCCCACTCTTGTCGCAGGCCTGGGTAAGAAAGGAGGAAGAGGAAGCCAAGGGCTGACTATGGTCATGGTCACGGTCACGGGGAGGTTGGCTCCTGGCTGCTTCGACTTGGGGTGCTGGACAGAAACACTAGTCTTCCAAGGTAGTTGAGTCTTTCTGTGTGGGCTGTCTTTGTACTGGAATCTGGCCCAGGGGTGACACTGCTGTTTTTGGTGACCTGCAGTTTGAGAAGGAACAAAGGTATGGGTCAGTCTGTGGCGGTTGTGATGGCACTCAGGTAGCTTACTCTAACTCTTCCCGGGGCCCTGGAGTGACAAGCAGGCCCGCTCCCCTTTATTGAGGGACACTGCATGCTAGACATGGCACTGGGTGCTTTGCTTCATCATCCTAGTTTGTCCTCATGGCAATCCTGCAAAGGGGGTGAGGAGCAGCACCCCCATTTTGCATACGAGGGAACTCCAGTTCAGAAAGAGTAAGTGACCTGCTCACAGCAAGCTTTTAAGTGTGGCGGATTCGGGACTGCAGCCGTGTCTTCCCACCACCCCGCACCATCCATTCCACCTCCAGGCCCACAGGGCCCCACTGGCACGGCTCTCCCCTCACCTGGGATCTACCGGGGCTCTCCTGCTGTTCTCCATCCCACTCTCCCAGCCCCTAGCCCCACCAGCTGTCTCATTTGTTTACGGACTGGTTTAGGATTTGCTTCCACCACCAGAGGGCAGACTGGAGGGTCAAGGACCATGTTGGTCTGGATTCCTGTGGAGGCCCTGACGCCCATAGCAAAGCCTAGGGCAGCAGGTGATGTACTGAGTGGATAAAAGCTCATCTTCAACAGCTCCCATTATGGGCACTAGCACTTGAAATAGATGATCTAACCCTCACAGCATCTGAGACTCGAGGGTAACGAGCCCCCTTTGGGAGTGGCACAGCAAAGTGGGGGGGGGGGCCTGTGGGGCCACAGCAGCATGAGTCCTGGGTCCAGCTCCCAAGCACTGTGTGACCCCACGCAAGTTTGCTGGCTCACCTGACATGAGGTGTCCTTGGGCTGTAAAAGGGGGCCCTAACTCAGAGCTACTGTTGTGAATTCAATGGGATCGAAGTAGGTATTGGACAACTTATAGCCCCAGTTTCACAGAGCAGGGGCTGGAGGCTCAGGGTGGCTTCCTGACATGCCCGGGGTGGCTGAGCTGGGAAGCGGAGGAGTGAGACAGTGTGCAACAAAAGCGTTTTCAAGTGTGGGTGCCCCAGAACGGGGCTCTGGCCAGCTCCAGACTGTCTGAGAAATTGCCACCCATCAAGGCTCCATGAGCTGCAGGGGTGCCGAGAGAGGGGCAGTTCCAGGCCGGGGTGCCGGGGCTGGGGTCAAGTCCATGTCTAAGAGACATCGCAAGAGCCTTCCTAGTTAAAGACACGCCTACAAATGAAGAGGAAGGCCTGCCGAGGGGGAGAGGAGGCTTCAGGCAGGTGGAGGACCAGGAATATTTCTGACGGCACACTGTTTCCACCGCCTTTACTTCGGTTGGCTCCGTAGCAACACAGAACCAACTGCCAGTCAAAGCCCTCATTTCACAGACTCGCCTGCCCGAAACTCAGTTTCCTCATCTGTAAAATGGGGATGATTCCTACCTAGGAAGGTTGTGCTGCGGCACACTGTCCACACCACACAGTCCCTTCCTGAGAGGAAGGGACATAACCCCCTGGTCACCTCTGGCTGCTCCGTCCCACGTGGAACCCAAGCTCCTTGTCCACAAGGGGTCCCGGAGGAGCATACCCTGAGCCAGAGAAGCCTCGATAGAATTACGGCTCTGCCTCACAGGGTCACTCTTAATGGCGTCTGCCTATGTCTGTAAAACCAGAATAATGACCTCTTCTCCCCAGGGTGCTTGAACTACCTGAAAGTGAAAATGTTTGTATACAGCTGCAACAGAGCAGGCGCTCGAAGAATGTGACTCATTTTCATGAGTCACGGATAGATGATTCTGTTCACCTCTTCCCTTCCAAGGACTCTTCACGATTTGTACTTACTGGAGTTCACTCATGTTCTGTCTCCTCCCAGCAGAGTGTAAGGTCTTGAGAGCAGGGGCTGGAGCGGTTCCTGCCACCACTCTGGTGTTCAGTATTTGACCAAGGAAGGAAAGACCCGGTCATGTTCGGTAACGACCTGTAGAGGGAGCTCTCACCATGTAGTTGAGGGAGAAAAGACTCCCCTCAGCAGCCTGCTACAGGAAACAGAGCTCTGGGAGACCTCCGAGGGAACTGCCTGTGCTTCCCTGCCAACACTTCCAGCCCAGGAGGTCCACAGGCCAGGGAGAAGCTGATGGGAGTGAAACTTCTTTCCGTTAACTGACTAATCTTCTGCTGACTGAGAAATGGCTGCCAAGATTCCCTTTTAGGCCAAGGAGTACCTGGCTTTGTTCTGATTCAGAAGCTCAGAGCTCCTGCTGCAGGCCCTTGAACTTCAAAGAATGATTACTCACTGGTTCTTGTGTTTGAAGCCGCTGACGTGAGCTTGGTACTGTTCTATGGAGTTCAGCACGATCTTACACGTCTTGCACGGGTAGCCCTTCCCGGCTGAAACACACGTGAAAGACAAGATGCTTAGTTTCCCAGTAAGAAGGGACCTGGGCAGTGCAGCTTCGGAGAGTGCATGCACATGTCCTTCTGAGGACTGAGGAGCAGGTGAGAACCCCAGAGGCCCCCATGCTCCGGGGCACGTGCTGTGCCTATGTGCTCCCTAAGGTGGGAATCTCTTCCCTCCCCTCTGTGCCCCCAGGCCCAGTATTGGACCTGTCCCGAGTAGCTGTCTGTTGAGTGGCTAAAAGACGGACAGAACAAAGAGGCATTTGGTGTATCTGTCTTTCCCACCTGAACAGTGCCAAGTGACCTCACTCAGGATGCCCTCGCCTGGGGATCTCCAGGCAGGTGCCACTCTCCTCCAGCCTGTGGTAACAGTAACTGATGAGAATGTCTGCTCGGAAAACCAATCTGCTTTTCTACTATGGGGCTCTCAGGCACCTTGTCTCATTACCAGGGCTGCTCCAATGACAAAGTGGCCTTTCTGCACATGGTTTAGCAGAGAGATATGGTGAGAAGCAGAGATATGGGGCTGGACTCCAGGTTCTGCTTTCATATGACCTTGGCTGAATCCCTTCCCCTTTCTTATCCTCAGCTTTTCTCAATTATGAGCCAATTATATTACAACTCCTAACCATAACACATAATAAAAAGCAGTGCTATCATTTACCAAGTGCCCCATATACCAGGTCTGTCCAGAAGGTATCCAGCCATGTGATGTGAAAAATAGACATTTATTGAAGAAAATACAAGACACAAGAAACACTGAGGACAATGATGCCTTAGTCCCTTTCAAAGTAGGCACCTCGGGACCTCACACTGTTCTTTCAATCGCCATCAGCTGCCCCGCCATATTTTCCTGAATCTCATCTACAGTCTGAAATTTCTTCCCTTTCAAAGATGATTTTAGTTTTGGGAAAAGGCAGAAGTTGCAGGGCACCAAGTCTGGGCTGTAGTGGGGCTGAGTCACCTGGGTGATTTGATATTTCACCTAAAAACTCCACATGAGATGTGATGCATGAGTGGGCATGTTGTTGTGATGAAGCTGCCCATCATCAGTTGTCCACAGCTGTGGCCCTGTGAATCATCCCAATAGTTTTCCCAGAGAAATGTTCAAGCATAGTGCAAATGCTGATGAAGATTCGTTGCTCTACTTGCTCAGTCATTTTGAATCTGACGGCCACACCAGCACACATGCTTACTCAAGGGCATCTACCACCCCCACTGACTAGTACAGTGAAGTCATCATTGCTCACACATGCGCATTCTAGTCCACTCTCCTTGGCTGCCAGGTTACATCAATGTTCTGCAAACTGTTCTCATTATTTTAACAAAGGCTGGAGTTTTTCTAGATGGACCTCATGGGCAGTGCACTTCACCATGATCACAGGAGCTCCTCAGCTCTGCTCCCTTTTGAATCATCCACCACCCTAACGTCTCCCAGCTCTGTAGTGAGATCACCTAGGTTCACCTCCCTGCTCTGTTTCTTAGTAGGACTGTAGGTCAGTTACTTAACTCTCTGAGATGGGGTTTCCTCATTTGTAAAAGTGGGGCTTCTCAGAAACTCGGGTTCTTACCTAAGAGGTCGACATTGGTGTCAACCTCATTAGGTCATCGATTCAAGTGAAAAATTCGGCACACAGTGAGTGTTCAACACGTGTGAGCTTTTATCACTGTTATCACTCCACTCTCACAGGTTCTTGAGTCACTGGTGAAGAGGGAGACAGCATCTTCCGAGCATCCTTCCATGGCAACCGATGCCCCTGGGAACACAGACCACCTCCCCTCCTCCATAAGTGAGCCGGTGTCCCCAGTGTCCCCAGGTCCATTTGTTTCCCTTGTATCCTCACGTAAGGGGAAACTCCCTGCAATCAGAACTCAGGTCCTTTTTAGGCATTTAAGGCCAGAATTCACAGTTTGACACTAACATGGGAAGCTGCATAATGGACTAGTAGAACCACTCTGCCCCCAAGGTCAAGAGTGGGACCTGAGGCTGGGGTGGGGTGACAACCACCAATGGTTAAGAATCACTGATGCCCAGATTACAAAAGTCCACTATTATTATATATTATGCATAAGGCACCAAGTCAGGGTTTTGGATATTTGTGTCACTGGTTTTTTTAAGGATTATATTTAGTTTTTTTTTCAATTACCATAAAAAAAAAGAATTTATTTATTTATTTTTAGAGAGAGGGGAAGGGAGAAAGAGAGGGAGAGAAACATCAATGTGTGGTTGTCTCTCATAGGGCCCCCACTGGGGACCTGGTCTGCAACCCAAGCATGGACCCTGACTGGGAATCGAACCAGTGACCCTTTGGTTTGCAGGCTGGTGGTAAATCCACTGAGCCACACCAGCCAGGGCTGTGTCATTGGATTTTCACGACAACCCTACAAACCAGGTGGCCATCTCCATTTTTCAAAGCAGGAAATAGACCCCAAAAGGTGAAAGAGGTGGGTGAACTGGGTTAGAGCTGGGATCCACCCCTGGTGGTGAAGCCCTGTTCTCCCCTTGGCACCACACACCTCTCTGAACTCTCCCGCAAACTTCATGAGGTGCATGGTCTCACTCAGCACACTAGCTGCTGATCTGCAAACTGGATTCAAAATCATCACTTGGGGAACCACATAATTCATCAGAGCTCTAAAAAAAACGAGGTCTGTCCAGTACTCACACTCATTAATTTTCCTCTCCTTTTCATTTGACATGTTTTTTAATATTGATTATGCTATTACAGTTGTCCCATTTTCCCCCCTTTATTCCCCTCCACCCTGCACACCCTCTCCCACCCACATTTCCCCCCTTTAGTTCATGTCTATGGGTCGTACATATAAGTTCTTTGGCTTCCACATTTCCTATACTATTCTTAACCTCCCCCTGTCTATTTTCGACCTGCCATTATGCTTTTTATTCCCTTTACCTTTTCCCCCTCTCTTCCCCTCTCACTCCCCTGCTGATAACTCTCCATGTGATCTCCATTTCTGTGATTCTGTTCCTCTTCTACTTGTTTGCTTTTTTTTTTTAGGTTCGGTTGTTAATAGCTGTGAGTTTGTTGTCATTTTACTGTTCATATTTTTGATTTCCTTTTTCTTAAATAAGTCCCTTTAACATTTCATATAATAAGGGCTGGGTGATGATGAATTCCTTTAATCTGACCTTATCTGGGAAGCATTTGATCTGCCCTTCCATTCTAAATGATAGCTTTGCTGGATAGAGTCATCTTGGATGTAGGTCCTTGCCTTTCATGACTTTGAATACTTCTTTCCAGCCCCTTCTTGCCTGCAAGGTTTCCTTTCAGAAATCAGCTGATAGTCCTATAGGAACTCCTTTGTAGGTAACCATCTCCTTTTCTCTGGCTGCTTTTAAGATTCTCTCCTCTTTCATCTTGGCTAATGTAATTATGATGTGCCTTGGTGTGTTCCTCCTTGGGTCCAACTTCTTTGGGACTCTCTGAGCTTCCTGGACTTCCTGAAAGTCTATGTCCTTTGCCAGATTGCGGAAGTTCTCCTTCAGTATTTTTTCAAGTTAAGTTTTCAACTTCTTGCTCTTCCCTTCTCCTTTTGGCACCCCTATGATTCAGACATTGGAATGTTTAAAGATGTCCTGGAGGTTCCTAAGCCTCTCATTTTTTTTTGAATTCTTGTTTCTTCATTCTGTTGTGGTTGAATGTTTATTTCTTTTCTGCAAATCGTTGATTTGAGTCCTGGTTTCCTTCCCGTCACTGTTGTTTCCCTGTAGATTTTTCTTTATTTCACATAATGCAACCTTCACTGTTGGCCGGGTCTTTTTTATGCTGTTGAAGTACCCAGTGAGCTCCTGGATCATCCTGATTACCAGTGTTTTGAACTGTGTATCTTGTAGGTTGGCTGTCTCTTCATTGCTTAGTTGTATTTTTTCTGGAGCTTTGATCTGTTCTTTCATTTGAGCCATTTCTTCTTCTTCTTTTTTTTTTTTTTTTTTTTTGTCTCAGTGATGTAGTAAGGGACAGAGCCTTAGGTGTTCACCAGGGCGGGGCAATCACTTCACTGTGTTGTGACGCTCTATGTGGGGGAGGGGTCCAAGAGGGAACAATGCCACTTGCTCCATTCTGTTGGATTTCAGTCACTTCACCTGCTATCCACAAGCAAACTGGGTCTTTCTGGCACTGATTCCCGGGTAGGTGGGTTTGTGTATGTTCTAGGACCCTGTGGGTCTCTCCAAAGGACTCTCTTGTGAGGCTGGGAGTTCCTTCCACTGCCTCCTCTACCCCCACAAGTGTTTTCTTTGTTTTTTTTAAATTTTATTTTAATCATTGTTCAAAGGTGTTTTCAATCAGAGGTTTGAGGCTTTATTTCCCCGCTGGGACCCTGGGTTGTGGGTCTGTCTGGATCCCCAGTTGTTCCTCCCAGTTTATCTGCATGGGAACGTGGGACCGCCTGGTCCTCTAGCCACCGCCTTGCCTCAAGTCCTCTCTGCTCAGTTGCCCGTCTCCGCCACTCCTACTGGTCTGGGTGAGTGTTTCTTCTTTAACTCCTTGGTTGTTGGACTTCCACACAGTTTGATTTTCTGTCAGTTCTGATTGTTTTTTTGTTATTAAATTGTTGTTGTCCTTATTTTGGTTGTGCAAGGAGGCACAGTGTGTCTACCTCCATCTTGGCCGGAAGTCCTCATTTGACACGTTTGATATTCTGGTTCACCTATGTGATTGTGTGAAGTAGAGGTCACTAGAGCTGATTTTGAAACACCTGGCTTATCTGAAAAAGCACCTATTCTTTCCTTCCTTTCCCAGCTGAGTCCTGTGAAAGACCTGTCTGCACTTGTTTCTCCATTTCCTTGCCTTTCAGTTACTTTGCAGCCTCTCCACATGTACACACACGTGCACATGCACACGCTTTCTGAGACCAGAGGTGGCTTCCTTGTATCCCGACCTGCTGGACAAATGGACGCCAACGAGGCCTCCTGGTGCCCGAGCTCTCCACAGCCCCTGACGGAACTGCACACGCCCCTGACCTTTGCCCTCTGGTGGCTCCTTCTCTATCTCTTGCTAACTCCAGTTTGACTTCCATTGTTAACAGTGGGTTTCCAGAGGGTATAATCTTTTTCTTCTAATTTTTTCATTATTTTACCTTTAATTTTGGTAAAATAGGACAAAAAACTCACCATCCAAGCCATTTTAGTGTACAATTCAGTAATGTTAAAAAATAGGTCTGGCTGGAGAAACTCATGTGTTCATCATGTTTAACCATGTTTACATGGTTGTGCAACCAATCCCTAGAACTCTCCATCTTGAAAAACTGAGAAGTTACACTGATTAAACAGCTCCCCCTGCCCCTAACCTCTGGTGACCACCCACCATCCTACTTCCTCTTTCGGTGACTTGATCACTCCAGATGTCTCCAGACACAAATGGAGTCACATGAGATGTGTTGTGTGTGCTTATTTCCCTTAGCACAAAGCCCTCAGGGCACATGCATGCTGTAGCCTATGCCCATGTCTGGAGGGCTCAATCTCAGATGCTTTCTCTTCTCCAAGCTCTCTGGGGTATCATATCATTTTCCAGACCTCACTGACCACCTATTAGGTTAGAACACATGGAACTATCAATATTTAACAGTTTTTAAAATTTTATTTTGAGAGCATGTTTATTAAAGCTGGGGACAGTGAAACAAAGGAAGGGCTCAGGGCAGAAGCAGCCACTAGAGAGCCCTAGGCGGGGTTGCTTGGGCTCACTAAAACATCAGTGAAAAGGGGGCCTTGAAGATAGGTTCAGGGGTTAGCCTGGGACGAGCTGCCACTTCCCATTGTGCCCTTGGTCGTAAGTCTCATGGGGCCCTGAGAAAAGGTAAAGATATACCGAGGAAGACGGGGTGGGCATGCTCCGGAGACAGCCCGAATACTGAAGTTTCTGACCTACCAAAATGGCAGTATTTCTCACTCAGATCTCATGCTTAAGGTCTCAACCTGCATATCCAACTGCCTCTCAAGCACCTCTACTTGGATATCTCACGGGCATGTTCAACTTAAGCTGAGAAAACCTGGTTACCCACCTGAATCTGGGTACCATCCTCACCTGTTCCCTTTCCAAGGCCCGGCAATTCTACATCCTAAATACATCTCGAATCCACCTGTTCCTACCTCCTCTGTTGCTCCCTGAGCCCGGCTCCTGTCTCCTCCAGCAGGAACCACTGCAGCAGCCACACTGCCGCTCCTTCCCACCACCCTTGCTCCCTACAGCAAACCATTCCCCACTTCGTAACCGGCGCTTAGACTGTCAATGGCTTCCCAGGGCTCTCAGAACAAAGGACCAAACCCTTAATGTGACCCACACGCCATGAATGGACACTTGCTCCCCTCCCCAGCATCACTGTGTCCCACATGGTACCCCCCCCACCCCCGGGAGGGCTCCCTTGATGCCTGCTCCCTCACAGTAGGGCATCTCCATAGCACCCGAGTTATCTCCCGTTCTAAAGCTGTCACACTTGTTACTTGCTCCATGCCTACCTTCTCTGTGGGCTCCAAGTTCCAAGGGAACTTGAGCAATGCCTCTTGTTTAACACCACACGTATAACACCTGGCATACGTTAGGAAACAGATCAACAAATATTTCTTGACTATATATAGATGTTTTAAGACCTGCAGCCTGTCCTAAGTGTGGGGGTTGAGAGACTTAGGGGTCAGCATATGGCAGAGGAAGCAGACCTGTTCTGTGCAAGAGGTGAGGCCAGAAGGGATGGGGTGAAGCAGAGGATGGCAGCACCCAGGGGGGTGCCGAGGGTGCTAGAGGCTAAAGGACCTGGCTGCCAGAATGGCATGCAGGTTTTAGTTTTAGTTCTTGGGTAAATAAGGGAAATGTGAGCTTGGGGTATAAAGTGAACTCCAAGTGTCGTTTATTCTGCTTAGCCCTGGTGGGAGAGCTTTAGATACTCTGGGTCACCCTCATATTTGGCCCAAATTGTCATGAGACACGTGCCAGGAGCCCCAGGGAAACTAGTCTCTGGACCCAACACAGAACTTGACCTCTTTCAGTGCTGGCTCTGTTGCTGCCTAGTGTGTGGCCCAGGAGAAATCACTTCATCTTTCTTTAAAAAAAGTTATTGGCTCATTTTAGAGAGGTGGGCAGAGAGAGAGAGAGAGAGAGAGGGAAATGTTGATTTGTTTTTCCACTTATTTATGCTCTCATTGGTTGGTTCTTTATGTGCCCTGACCAGGGATCAAACCCGCAACCTTGGCCTATCAAGATGTGGCTCTAATCCACTGAGCTACCCAGCTGGCACCCACTTCCTCTTACTGATCCCAATGTCCTCAGTTTTAAAATGGGGACGACAAAACTTGCACAACAGAGTTGTTGTGAGGATTAAAGCAGGTAATTATAGGTGAGAACACCCAGCCTGAGGCCTGGACAACAGCAGCCAGCAACCGGTAGATGCAGGATGACTGAGGGAACAGAGAGCTGCGTCTGAACTGAAGCCGGAGGGGGCAAGTCGAGCTGCCCACAAAGCAAACCCTCTGCTGAGGCGGAGCCCGTCAGCTGAAGGCACTGCTGAGCTCCTGGGTCGACACCCCAGCTCCATGCGCAAGGGGTCCGGCTGGGCTCAGCGCCTCGGTTCACGTCCTGTACCGGAAAAGCCCTCTACTCAGTACGCTCAGACCCAAAGGCAGGAGGAATTTTGGGGCCAGACAGAGCTAGAGACCCATGCTGACGGTGTTACTGATTGACACTGGGTCACATTAGCTGCATGTCCTTGAACAAGTCACACTGAGTCTCATCCTTTTTATTTGTGAAGTAGGAAAACCATGCTTATTTATAAGAATGCTGTGGGGATTAAATTATAATGTATATTCAATATCAAAGGGGCACATGATGCCCCTACTCTTCTGCCTTGGTTTTCATGAAAGATTTGAGCCGACCTTTAAAGCAAATGCCTTAAGCAAGAAAAACAAACGAACCAAGGCTCCACTTCCAAGACTACGTGTGTGATTCAGGCAAACGGGAGAGGGTGGGTACAGAAGGGAGGCTCTGGCTGGAGATAAAGAACACAACGGACACACGTTAAGATAAGCAGCCCGAACACGGCAGTGCCCAGGTCCGGCCAGTGGACAGGAGGTGATGAGGAATGACCAGGGCAGGGCCCCAGCAGAAAGGGTCAGCTACAGGAGACCCTGGCCACGCCAGTGGGGCGCTACGCTGTTCCTATCAGTCACAGGCCAAAACAAGAAGATGTCGTGAAGCAGGGCTCCAAGGAACTTGGTTCTGAGGTTGGTACGAGACCGGTCCTATTAAAGGGGAAGGCACTGCCTGTGTGTGGGAACGGTACGCAAATACCGGCCATCCCTTTCCAGTTTTGAAGAGGTTTGTACAGCAAGTCCTTTGTCCTTCCACGGCATTGGGGGAGCAATCCCTGGCACCCTGCTCCAGGACTCTCCGCCCTGCTCACATAGCCACTGCTTCGAGTCCTGTCAGCACTGCCCAAGGTCGGCAGGTCGGCCTGTGCTGTGTGGTTGCTTTCGGGTTTGGAGGGTTGTTAGAGAGCTGTGTCCCCTCCCCTTGCCCACAGGCGGTCTGGAATATCTAAGACAGCTGTGTGCTCACCTGTCCACGTCAGCAGGAAGAGCACAGATGACTCTGGAAAGTGGCTTCCCTGAGGCCAAGATGTTGGCACCTGGGTGCCTCGGGGGCCCCAGGAGTTGACTCTCTGGTGGTGGATCTGCATGGTCTGGGGAGGAAGCTCCAAGGACCAACATGCATGCTCACACAGGCTCCTGAGACAGGAGCTGTGTCCGTCTGGGTCACTACCGCACCTCGGTGAGGAGACGCAGTAGGCGCTCCATAAACACTGACTGGCTGAACGGAACAACAACCTCGCCTCACTGCCCCTCGCCGTAGGCAGTGAGAAGTCATTCTGGTGGGGCGGGCTCCTCCCTTTCTGTGAACCCTCTCCTGTTGAGTGAGTAGGCTGAGGCCAGGGGAGGAGTTGATACTCGAGTCCCAATGTTCTCCTCTCCGACACTGTCCCAGGAGCACAGGCAGGCCTGGCCGCTGGAAGAGGAGAGGCCCTGAGGACACTCTGAAATCTGGCAGAAGCTGAGGAGGCCTTCGCAAAAGGAATGGGGATGGCAGGGAGTTTAAATCAAAGGTTGCAAACTGGTGGCCCTGGTCCAAATCTCACAGGGTTTCACATTTTAAAAAATTAGTTGCACATTTGAAAATAAGGAGAATTCTTATTCAAATCTGGCTTCTAGATTCTCTAGACAAATGGACAGATATGGTAGCAAGTGGCGAGAGCTGGCCAGGAGACGCCACAGCCTTCAGCTGACCACACCCCCTCCAGGCCCTTCCCCTTCTTTGGACTTCCTACCTGGCTCTGCAGGCCTTTCAGTTCACCCCGTCAGACACCAGGAGACATTGGGAGGAGAGGTGTTGCCTTGGTGGTCTGGCCCCGACCCAGCCACAGGTGTGAGCTGGGCCCCCCAGGCTCCCTTACCTGCCGAGTCGGTGACAGCAGGATCTGCCAGCCGCCCGTAGTGTGCCATGAGCTTGAGCTTGGTCTCCTGTTTCCTGTGTTTCTTGCCCACGTAGTGTTGCTGAGCCATGACAGGGTCGTTGAAAGTTGCGTGGCAGAGGCTGCAGAACTTGTCTGGGTCTCTCACCTCTCTGCTCTGGTGCGAGGAGGCCAAGGAGGAGGCCACGAGGAGAGGGTTCATAAGGCGTTTCGACAGAGCTGCGGTGAGAGCCCAACAGAAGCAGTGAGAAGACAGAAGGTGCTGGGCTCTCAAGCACGCAGAATGCAGATGGAGGCCGTCACTAGGTAACCACACCTGCATGCGTGGCCCTGCTGCTGGGGACCGCAAGGTGACAGTTGCAGAGATGGGGGCTGCTACTTGTTCAACCGCTGTAACTGCTTTGGGCACGTGGGTCCTGCTTTCTCAGAGACCGAGGAAGTTCAGCACTTTTGCTATCAAGTTGCCAAATGACAACAGACTAGAGAGGGTGCACGCTCGCAGTCTTGCTGTCCTTCAGAATTCCCCGGGACTTCCCAGTTCAGGCGTTTGATTCCCATCCTCACAGCACCCCAGGCAGAGAGCTGGGGGCCGACGTGCAGATGGAGAAATGGAGCAACTACACTGGGGGGCCTTTTAGGCTACAGTGCCTTCAAGGCTGGGGTGGGAATGAGAACAGGGTGACATGACATTCAGTTACATGCTTTGTTCTCAGAACTGCTCCATGAACAAGGCATTGTTTTCCTACATTACAGAGAACCACTGAGGCTCACAGGTGAAATGACCTGCCCAAGACCACCCAGCTGGCAAGTGGAGCCTAGGTCTGCGTGACCCTCAAAACCACGCCCTCTTTGCCCTGCCAGGCTGCAGTGTGCGGCAAGGAGACCTGAAGGCACAGTTCTGGCTTTGGTCAGCGAGCTCCATTCACCAGATCCTGGTATGGGCATGTGTGAGACTCCCGTGGGTCAGCAGGCGTCTTTCCCCATGCTGACTGGGGGTGTGCTGCTGTCTCATAAAGTGGATGCCGTGAACTCACTGTTGAGGCCACGTGGCTGGAAGGGTGTGGGTCTAGTAACTACTGCTTTAAAAATGCGACGCAGAGGCCCCACCTAGGGTGGGGGAGGAGTGGGGTCAGCAGCCCCCCCAGGTGGCTCAGGTGCGCCTTCATCCTGGTGCCACTTTGATGGGGGAAGCTGGGAGGGTTTTTAGCAAGCCGGAAGGAACTTGCTGGCTTCTGCACTGATTTTCCGGTACAGGGATCTCAACTCTTCTGGCCATTGTCTCAGCAAATCACTCCAAAAGTAAATGTGCATGTTGCAGAATATTTAATAATGAGAAAAATATGCAGCACGTGGTGGTGAGTTAAAAAGAAGAGGTTATACAGAAATATGTTTCTTATGTCCTCAGTTCTGTAAACCACCACAAAAAAACAAGATGGTGATGTATGGGCAAAAGACCAAAAGCACAGATATAGTAAGAGGGTGCTTTTCAGTATTTTCCAACTTTTCTACAACAAATGCAGATTTCTGATGTAGAAAAGAGAGAACAGTTGACGTGAAGGTCACTCTAACAGAAGCTGAGGAGCAGCATCGGGGTGAAGGGTGGGTCCCGGGAGAGGAGCCACTTGGGGAACAGCCAGTAACCGTGAGAGCTGCGGGAGCTGCCTCTCAGTAAACAGCCTGAAGTGCGGGAAGGCGCTCAGAAGGGATGTTTGCTACAGAGTTACTTACAAACACCCGAAACGGGAGGGCAGAAACATTAGAGGAACGGTTAACTGTGATATGATGAGATCATTTATACTCATTGAAAATGTTTATGAAAAAGTTTTCAATAACATGAGGGAAACACAAATGTATTAAAATGAAGAGTATAAAAGAAAGTTAGACACACAACATGATTCTATCGTTGTGAGAAAATACATACACAATTTTCATGCGTGTACTGGTATTTTGAAATGTCACCAAAATATTAACAGTATTTTTCTCCTGGTGGTAGAATTTGGGTGAAATTTTACTTTCCTTTGTTCTTTTGCATTGTTTGAACTAGAATTTTTCATGATGAGTATGCATCGTTTTTAGAAAAACAGTAAGATTATTTGAAGTATTTATGTTTGTATGTACATATACATGGGTTCAATCTAGACACAAATAAAACAGACACACACACAGGTATACACGCACACACTAACAGAAGATTACAGAAGACACAGTACTACAAAATGCTAACAGTGGTTACCTCTGAATGGTAAAATTATGGGTACTTTTTCTTGTCATTTATCGATATTTCCCATATTCTCTACAACATGCTTATTTTCATATTAAAAATGCGTAATTCCAGAAATGTAGCTATAAACTCATGTGATAACAGGAAATGTGAATAAACTACAAAATCAAAAGGAAAGCTGAATGTGGGCACGGTGGCCACACCTATGTAAACACACACACACACACACACACACACACACACACACACAGCAGAGGCGGAAAGTGGGTGTGGGAATAACCTTGTAAGTATGAAAAGGTTACATCTTTGGGACCAGGCACATTCCAGGGCATTTTCCCACTTGTGGAAAGACAAGTCCATTTAAAGATATGTGAGCAACTTTATAAAGTTCCCTTCTTCAGCTGGTTTCTCGGCCTAATGTTTAACCCTTCAGGTACTGTGAACGGCACCAGGAGCAAGGCCAAGCACTGGCTCCAGGCGGCGAATGCCTGACCAACTACTGCACCGGACTGGGGGATTCCACTCGCTGGCTACTTTCACGATGGGGATTATACTAACAACAGCAGCTGTCATTTCCTGGGCACCTGCTGTGTCCTAGGCTCTTCCTACATCTATCATTTCATCCTCACGACCTATGAAGGGGAAAGCATTATCGACATTTTACAGGTGAGGAAACCCAGGCATGAAGGAGCCAGGCCACAGGGGTGGCAAATGGCAGCCCCGGGGTTTAAGCCTGGGCGCCCGGGGCTTTGCAGTCCACGTTCCACTGTTTCGTCCCATGAATGACCAGATTTGGGTGCGGTGAGGGTAAAGTTGTAAGTGATTTTTTAAATTTGTCTTCAAAGTCTTCCAAAACATTATTGTCTTGTTTTCATAATACAGTAATGTAAAAGAGGATAGTAAGTATTACAGATAGTATAGGCTATTTCTTGGTCCAAAAGGGAGAGAAGCAAAAATGACAAAGAAAAAATAAAGGTAAAAGAACTTTCATTTCTAACTGCCATTAGCAGACGTTAAAAATCCCAGAAAGTCAGGAGTTAATGAGAGAAAGCGTGGGCCCCCCGGGGGTGACAAGACAAAGGGCTACTTCAGAGAGAAGTCACTTCACTGGCAGTGAAAGGATGCCCAGCAGGTGCAAACACAGCTTGCTGGGCAGCGGTGGCTGCACTGAAGTGTTCGGCTTTGAAAGGCAAGTCCCTGTCTTGAGGAGAAGAGGCCACTTTGAGGATTAGAGTGAGTAGGGCATAACCTGAGCACACAAAAAAGACAAGGTTTCGGCTTTCAACTAGGAACACAGGATAACAAGGGCAGCCGGGTGCTGGGAGGGAGAACTTGGAGCAGGAGAGGCAGGCGGTGGCAGGCCTGGAGGATTCTGGCACTCCCAGTCATAGTATTAGTCAGAGCAGGAGCTCAGGGCTAACAGTGTCTGCAGAGAGACACTGACGGGACCAAAGAAACAAGGTTAGGTGGGCACAGCTCTGAGGCTGCATTTCAACGAGGCTGTGCCTACTTTTATATTTGCAAGGGCTCTCAAAAGCAGTTCAACCGCTCCAAGTCTGTGGCCCCAGCGGGCATTTCTGGAGCACCTGGCTGTGGCGCCCTGAGGATGGGAGGGGTCCCAATATAGCACTACTCAGGAAAACCAGTACCTTCCACCTTAGTGGATTGCTGCTTCAGCTTTAAGTTCTTTGCGTGGGTCTTCCCCAGGTAGTGCGACTGGGCCACGACAGGGGAGGAAAAGGTCATGCTACAGGTGGGGCAGCACTGGTTCTTGTCTTTGCTTCTGCTGCTCTTCTGGTTGGGAGAAAGAACACAGGTCTGGTCATGTCACTGCCCGGCCAGAACACCTTCCATGGCTCCCCACTGCCCGCGGGAGATGGGCACGCAAGGCCCCCTGTGCACACTGCCCCAACCTACCTTTCTGGATTCTCTTCCAGCTAATTCATCCCAGGCTCTACTCACCAGTCCCCACCTGATGCTCTGTGGCTTTCTTGCTTTGCTCGGGCCATTCTTGTTGCCTAGGGTGATCTTTCTTTCTTTCCTGCCTGACATATGTCTGCTTAGCCTTCAAGGCCCAGATTAGATATCACCTCTTCTGGGAGACTTTTAGTCAAGAAAATCATTCGGTAAACAATTATTAAGCCACTTCCTGAGGATTCCCAGGAGAATTTTGTTCCTCCTCTGTACTCCCAGAGTGCGTGAAACAGACCTCTCTAGCGTGCTACCTGTCACCCTAAACTGACAGCGTCAGAGCTCCACGTTTGGGCAGGGCCTGTCTGGCTTATCTCCGTTCCCTCTCCTAGCACCCTGCTGGAGTCTGGCACTCAGCGGACGTTCAGGGTTTGGTGAGCAGCAGACCCCTGGGTTTTACTTGTTGATATGATTATCAGGAAACAAGACAAAGTTTTAAAGCTCGGCACTATCGACATTTGGGGCTGCATAACTGTTATTCTTTATTAGGAGGTGGGGAGGAGCCTGTGATCTTATTTGAACTACTGGATCACCCTGGGTTGAAGGAACAGAAGTACCATGAGGTGAAGGGACTTGCCCCGGGTCACAGCGTTAATCCCGACTTCATGGACTCTGGATTGTAGGAGAAGGGCAGACAGGGGTTCAGTCTAGAGAACTGGGGAAGGGAAGAGCATGGCCCTTCCAGACCCGTAGCCACTGTAATGGGAGGCACAGTTTATCAACTACTGAATATCTACTAGGAATTAAAAATTGCCCTGGCTGGCAAAGCTCAGTGGATTGAGCTCTGGCTGTGAACCAAGGCATCGCAGGTTCGATTCCCAGTCAGGGCACATGCCTGGGTTGCGGGCCAGGTCCCCAGTGGGGGCCGCATGAGAGGCAACCACACAATGATGTTTCTCTCTCTCTTTCTCTCTCCCTTCCAGTCTCTAAAAATAAATAAATAAAATATTAAAAAAAAAAAGAAAAAAAAAATTACCTCAGGACACCCTGAAGAGGTAGAATTACTATCTCCATTTTATGGGTGGAGTGCACAGAGGTTAAGTGATTCACCCAAAGTCACCCACCCAGGAAGCTGCTGAGTAGCACTAGGCCCCAGTCTGCTGACTTCTCATCCCAAAATATCTGCATGGCATCCCACGGAATAAAAGACATGGCACCCCTGAAGGATCAGGGCTGTTTCAGTATGATTCCCACACTGTGCAGTATCTCTATGCCAGAAAGCAAATGTGTTCACACCTCAATTAGAGCAGGCACCTGGAAAGCTGTTCCTTCCACTTGTTTACTCCAAACATTCATGGGTGAACTTGGCTCTTCTTCCTGCTCAAGAAAGCAAGCAGCCTGGCTCTCTTCCACTTTGTGTCCTGGAGTAGTGAATGGCTAGCTTCTTGACCCACTCTAGCAAACCACAGGGGGGTAATGCCCAGCAATGGCTACATTTCCTGAGGTCCTACTATGTGCCAGGCTCTGGGTTGGGTGCTTTTTCCAAAAGTCCCTCACCTTAGTTTGGATAATCCTAAGACATAGCTGATGCTAGCTAGCATCCTTGTCTTCCTCAAGGAAGAAATAAGGCTCAGAGAGGTGACAAGACCTGCCCGAGTCCCGGCAGGGCTGGGACCGGAGGCCGAGGCAGCCTGCCTGAAAGCCCATGCTCTTTCACCGCGTCTCCCCGCCTGCTGGCTGCGCCAGGAAGCGAGCGTCCAACATGGCAGCTGGATTACCTGATCTGAGTCTAGCTTCTTCGTCTCCCCCTTTAATGTCTCCATTCCATGGATTGCTAGGTATCTCTTCACTTTGTTGGCATGTTTTTTGCTCTGCAAGAACCCAGGAAAAAGATCAAAGATAGCCAAATGCTATTTCATATCTAAAGCACTCAAAAATACTAGATTTCCACCTGATTCACTCTCACAAAACGTTTGGGCAGGAGAGGGTGTGGGAAGAAACCCAGTCTATTGAGTTCCTGCTCTGTTCAAGGCACTTTGCATGCTGTCAAATCAAATTCTCACAACAGTCTATGAGAACACTGTCATCATCTCTATCTTACAGACGAGGAAACAGAGGCTGAAGAGGGTGTGGTTTCTTGCCCAAGATGAGTGGCAGAGCTATGAGTCAACCTCTGGTCTATTTAAAGCCAGAGTGCAGACTTTCTACTACACGAGCTACAAGGAAAGATACACGTATAATGACCCCGATTTGGATGTGAGAAATGAGACTTGGAAAAATTAAGTCAGTCTTCAATACAGTCAATATGCGTGGAGGCAACGCCTGTGCAAGCCAGGGAGAGGTGGGGGCTTGGAGCTGGGTCTGGCGAGCAGGGCCGTTCTAAAGGTGCCATGGCGTACCTGGTAATGAGCCAGCTTCTGGGACTCCGAAATAAGCAGGGCGCAGCACACCTTGCACTGTGTGCTGGTGAAGAGACACTGGTTCTTCTGGATCATGTGCTCCACTGCAGAGAGGAAAACAAAACCTCTGAGTCAAAAATCGGCTTTCGTGTCTCCGAACTCTGCCTCGAACGCAAGCGCGGAGCAATGCAATGCCACACTGGTCTACACTTTGGGAGAACTCGGCCACTCTTCCCTTGCTGCACTCACACCACCTACACCACTGCCTACTTTATAATGTCACATAAGCCAACTTTATTTACTAAATAAACTGCTTACAAAATTTTAACTGAGATATAATTGAATATAAGATTATATTAGTTTCAGGTGCACGATATGATGATTCAACATTTGTGTAATCGCAAAATGGTTGCCACAATAGGTCCAGCCAACACCAGGCACCGCAGCATTACAATTATTTCTTGTTATGAGAACTTTTGGGATCTACTCTCTTAGAGATTGTTTTAAAAACTGATTTTAGAGACAGGAAAGAAGAGGTGGGGGGAGAGAAAGAGGGAGGGAGTGATTTATTGTTCCACTTATTGATGTACTCAATGGTTGTTTCTTGTATGTGCCCTGACCAGGGATCGAACCCACAACCTTGGTGTACTGAATGATGCTCTGACCAACTGAGCTACCTTGTCAGGGCAGCAACTTTCAAATATGCAATACAGAGTTCGTAACTACAGTTACCATGTGTACAAGTAAATTCTTTAAAAAAGGAATCTTTAGATCACAAACTTAAATATAATAGATCGATGAAAATGAAACAATTCTAGCCAGATGCTGGCACCAGTGGCTTAGAGTTCCCCCTGAAAAGAGCCATGAGAGCGAGCCCTGGCTGGCGTAGCTCAGTGGATTGAGCGCGGGCTGTGAACCAAAGTGTCGCAGGTTCGATTCCCAGCCAGGGTACATGCCTGGGTTGCAGACCATGACCCCCAGCAACCACACATTGATGTTTCTCTCTCTCTCTCTATCTCCCTCCCTTCCCTCTCTAAAAATAAATAAATAAAATCTTAAAAAAAAAAAAAAAAAAAAAAGAGCCATGAGAGCAGCAACTGGGAAGAGAGGTTTTTAAGACAGGGTGTTCCCACCTGAGACTTCTTCCCTGATAGAACTGGAAGGACTGATGGACTTGGAAGGGGAATAATTTCCTCACTGTTCTTTTAAATTAAAAATTTTGTTATAATAATACATTCTGGCCCTGGCTGGTGTGGCTCGGTGGATTGAGCTCCGGCCTGTGAACCAAAGGGTTGCTGGTTCAATTCCCAGTCAGGGCACATGCCTGGGTTGCAGGCCACCACATATTGATGTTTCTCTCCCTCCCTTTCTCTCTCCCTTCCCCCCTAAAATAAATAAAATCTTTAAAAATAATAATAGTACTTTCTGTATCTTTTTACTATTTGTGGAACATTTTTGGTGGAATTAAAAATAGAGCAACCTCCTGGCTGGTGTATCTCAGTGGACTGACCGCGGGCTGCGAACCAAAGTGTCGCAGGTTCAATTCCCAGCCAGGGTGCATGCCTGGGTTGCAGGCCATGACCCCCAGCAACTGCACATTGATGTTTCTCTCTCTCTCTTTCTCCCCCCATTCCCTCTCTAAAAATAAATAAAATAAAATCTTTAAAAAAAATAGAGCAACCTTTGCCCTGGCCGGGCAGCTCAGTTGGTTAGAGTGTTGTCCTGATAAGCTAAGGTTGTGTATTTGATCCTTGGTTAGGGCACATATAAGAATCAACCAATGAATGTATAAACAAGTGGAACAACAAATTGATGGCTGTCTCTCTCTCCAATATCAATAAACAGAAATTAAAAAAAAATAGATGAGTGGATAAAACAACTATGGGACATTTACACAACAGAATACTACTTGGCTGTAAAAAAGAAAATTTTACCCTTTGCAACAGTATGAATGGACCTGGAGAATATTATGCAAAGTGACATAAGTCAGTCAGAGAAAGACCAACACCATATGACTTCACACAAATGTGGAATGTAATGAACAGACTGAACTAACAAGAAAAATGGGGACAGACTCATAGATGGAGAGCAGGATGACAGCTAGTGGGGTGGGGAGGTTAGAGAGTGGAGGGGATTGAGCAGAAAGGAAAAAGGACTCATGGACATGGACAACAATGTGATGATTGCTGGGGGGAGGGAGGTATACGGGGACTAAATGGTAATGAAAAAAAATACAATAAAGATTTAAAAAAAGCGGTTTTCAAATTTGCTCCACTAAAGATAATAACATTTTTCTTTTTATTCTAAAATATTTTTAAAAACTGATTTTAGAGAGAGAGAGGAAGGGACAGAAAGAGAAAGAAACACTGATTTGTTGTTCCACTTATTTATGCATTCACTGGTTGCTTCTTGTATGTGCCCTGACCAGGGACTGAACACACAATCTTGGTGGATTGGGATGATACTCTAACCAATTGAGCCACCCAGCCAGGGCCAATAACATTTTCTTTTTATTTATTTATGTTTGATTGTTTGTTTATTTATTTTAAAGAGAGAGAGAGAAATATCAATGTGTGGTTGCCTGTCGAGCATCCCCCACAGGGGACCTGGCCCACAACCCAGGCATGTGCTCTGACTGGAAATCAAACCAGCATCCACTGAGCCATACCAGCCAGGGCACATTTTCTTATTATTTAAATTTATATTGGTATAGTAGCACACACAAAATTGGTCAGAAAATTGTATTGGGGTTTAATTATTAAAAGACTAGAACATTCTTTTTGTATGAAAAGAATTTGAGTTTCCGTTTATTATGGGAACATTAAATTTAAAAACTGGTTTTCTTTTAAATGAATCAGAAGATGTGAAAAGACATTTTAGAGGATAAGTATCAGAAGATGGTGCCAATGAGAAAGGTAATTAATCCTACTCTTACATAGTAAGCACAAAATATTATCTAATACCAGCTAAATGTTCATAGTGGAAAACCATGGTTAGGAACTTGGGCCCCCTGGGCATCCTGACTTGGGTTCAAATCCTGCTTCTGTTACTTACTAGCTCTGTGATTTTGCAGAAATTACTTAACCTCCATCCCAGTTTTGTTTTGTTTTTCTGGTATAAAATGGGAGGGCTGGTAACATGCATCTCAAGGAATGGTTTCTCCTACGGTTTTCCACATAAATCACTCAGCACAGCGCCTCATCTATTCTGTGCTCAATTTCAATGTTACTGTCAAATTATATTCTGGGCCCCGTGGTTCTGAGCAAATTAGTTATTTCCTATACTGCACCTATGATATTTCTTAATCTAAAACTAAATAACTTAAAACTTTTCTCACTATTCTTTTTTGTTAAAGATTTTATTTATTTACTTTTAGGGAGAGGAGAAGGTAGGGAGAAAGAGAGGGAGAGAAACATCAATCAGTTGCCTCTTACATGCCCCCAAACACAGATCTGGCCCACAACCCAGGCATGTGCCCTGACCTGGAATCAGACTGGTGACCTTTTGGTTTGTGGAATGACACCCAACCCACTGAACCACAGTAGTCAGGGCTTTCTCACTATTCTCACTCTGACTTTGAAACGTATGAAATCACCTAACATATTACACAAGCTCCACTGTAGGAATTCATGGGATTACCTTGTTCTTAATTGTTGGGTGTTGAGAACAAATCTTGCCTTTTGGGAAGGGAGTGAAACCTCGCCCAGGGCAGGAGTCCCACTGTAGCACTGATAGCCGGAGGCAGGGTAGAGTCCAGATCACTGAGGGGCGGCAAGCCCACGTTTTTTACTGTCCACTCTGGACCAAAGAGTGGTCCAGATGTCTTGCAGGGAGGCTCTTGGTAGACAGTTTTGATGTAACTCTTTTTACTTCACTAGATCTAAAACTTATCTATGCTTTTGGGCAGAAGGACTCTTGACTGGCTGTATTCTGTCTCTTGGGGTCTCTTGTTTATTTCCTCATTTTTCTCCTACAGTGCTTGAGGGAAATTCATAGCATTACAGGCCTACCTCAAGAATTAAGAAACATCTCAAATAAACAATCTAACCTTACACCTAAAGGAACTAGAAAAAGAACAAAGCCCAAAGTGAGTGGAAAGAAGGAAATAATGCAGATCAAGCAGAAATAAGTGAAATAGAATCTAAAAAACAAAACAAAACAAACCAATACAAAAGATTGATGAAACCAAGAGATGGTTCTTTGAAAGGATAAACAAGATTGCTAAATATTTAGCCGGACTCATGAAGGAAAATTAGAGACGACCCAAATAAGTCAAATTAGAAATGAAAAGAGGAGTTACAACTGCCCTGGCTGGAGCGGTTCAGTGGACTGAGTGCCGGCCTGCAAACCAAAAGGTAGCCTGCTCCATTCCCAGTCAGGGCACAGGCCTGGATTGTGGGCCAGGTCCCCAGTTGGGGTGTGCAAGAGGCAACCAACTGATGTTTCTCTTGCGCATTGATGCTTCTCTCCCTCTCTTTCTCCCACCCTTCCCTCTAAAAATAAATAAAGTAAATTTAAAAATCTTAAAAAAAAAAGAGAAGTAACAACTGACACCGTAGAATACAAAGGATTTTAAGAAAGTAATACAGACACATATGCCAACAAAATGGACAATCTGGAAGAAACCAATAAATGCCTAGAAACATACAATCTCCCAAAACTAAATCAAGAAGAGAAAATCTGAACAGACCAATTACATTTTACAAAATTGAAGCAATAATAATAATAATAATAATAATAATAATAATACTCCCAAGAAACAAAAGACCTGAACCAGATGGCTTTACAAGTAATTTTTACCAAACACTCAAAGAAAAAATTACATCTGTCCTTCTCAAATTATTTCAAAAGAGTCGGGAAGAGGGAAGATTCCCTTGCTCATTCGACAAGGTCAGCATTAAACTAATTCCAAAGCCAGCTATTCAAAGGAAGACAAATTTAGGCCGATATTCCTGATGAACACAGATGCAAAAATCCTCAACAAAGTATTAGCAAACTGAATTCAGCAATACATTAAAATGACCACACACCATAATAAAGTGAGGACTAATTCCTCACATGCAAGGTTGGTACAATATACACAAAGTAATTAACATGGTATCCC